CTGAAGCAGACACCAAAGCAGTGTGTTGGGGACAGTACCTCGCCCCTCAACTACCAGAACTCTCCTTTCCTGCGACACGGGTCTCCACGCACGGCAAACACGTGGGCAGTTTTCTCGCCACTCGAAAACTAGAAACAAGAGCTGTTCCAGTTTTTTGTGATGAGCCCCAACCTCCAAAGAGGTAAACCACAAGGGAAAATGCAAAGAAAAAGTTTCAGCTCAGAGGAGAGGAGACGGAAAAGAGGATAGATCACTGGGGCCCCAGGATCGTGACACCCTCACCAAGATAATCCCCTGAAGGGCTAGGGTACCTCGGGATTGCCACACCCGTACTCACAAAAATGAGCCTCCGAGGGCCTTCTCTTATGAGTCTCCAAATAGCATGTTTCACATTTGCTTCTTTTTGAAGATATCTGTGGCTCATCATAATTTTGAGGTTATTGTTCTTGGCTGGGAGCGTATCTCTTTAATTTTTAAGTGTACTGGCATCCCAATAGACTTCAGACTTTGTTGAGCAAGTTGTCCAAGCACAAGTTTATTAGACAGTTGTTTTTTGAACAACCTCCTTTTAAGAGCTGTGTACCCATTATCTACATGCATGACCTGAATTAATTGAAGTGTTTAACATTTTAAAAAAGATTACCATGGACCACCATTTTACATTTCGAGACAAATTATACGAACCACACATTTTATCTACAATGTCTACTCTTAACCTGGTTTCATTGTAGAAACTGATTATTTCCGGTTTCTGTTCTTCATAGTAGACAGATCAATAACTAGGTCATCATGACATAAGAAGGACATTTTTGATTTTCTTGGAACTCAGAACACCAAAACATTACCATCACTACTGAAGCCAAAATTACTTCAAGGTCTTGAAAGTATCTCAAATCAAACATTTTTCTTTTGACATTTTGAAGCCTGAATCAAATAAATATTTATAATGTCGTTACGAAAATGACTTTGTCAAATTTTGTAATAAGCAATATTTTAAATTATTAAAACATTTTACAATTCATGACATGATGAGGTGCAATGTGCTTGAAATGCCAGAGCTCAAAAACATACTCAGTTTTGTAGATAATCATAAAATATTTTATTAGATGAAATAGCTAACCAAAAAATGTAATATAGTATTAAAATAAAACACAGAAAACTTACTTGTCAAACTGCAATGTAATCGGGTCTAATAGGTTTAAACCTATTAGATCATTTCATCTGTCAACTGGAAATGAAGAAATATATTCCCTGACAGACCTTATGACTACCAGTGGTACTAGAAGATGAGAAGTTAACTGGACACAGAAGGAATGACAACGTTTGAAAGAGGTAGGGCAAACAAAAATGCTCGAGGTGTGCCTAGCAGATCAAATGTGCCCGATGGAGTGTTAATATAAGCTAACCAAACACATTACAGATCACATTTATGATTTCAGTCAATTTTTCGTCAAAAAATACATGCATGGGATTGATTGGAAATAAATGTTGCTCTAAATGAAATAAAATTATCCACATTGAAGAAAGTATTTAATAATATAAGAATCAAATAAAATGCTGTGGATCGGTAATTTTTAAACAATGCAGTGTGGCCTTTGGCAGAAACTTCTGTTTCCATAAAAAAGAGAGTAGTTTGAAGTTTACAAATATCTAAGTAATATTTTTTAAAGTTCAGAAATGCCTTTTAACCTTCCAGCATGCGCGCTTGGCAATTTTACATCAACACACGCCCGTCGTATTTTTTACGATACTCGTTATTTTATAGTTTTTGGCACGAAAAACGACAGAAATGAGTGAATATTTATAATAAATTTGTTAAGAAATAAAATATTAATCTTATTATTGCAAAATACAAATAATATCACATTCGAATATAAGTAAATTATTTTTAAGTTCTTATGTTAGTGAGATGGAAATGCAATGACGTATTTCATTATGGAAAATTTTAAATTTATTTAATAATTATATTTTAAAATCGAAGCTAATTTTAATATTCATCGAAGACAAGTATAGACAATAAAAAAAGAAAACACATTGGTAGGAAAAAAAAGTAAGTTTAGCATTACTTACTTCTGCAAGGAAATTTACTTCTTACTGGTTGCAAAAACACACTTTAAATTAACTTTAATGTTTTTATTTATTTCCAAAAATTAGAAATAAAAGAAAATAAAGAATGGAAATTGCTACTGTTCTCCCATCCAAAGATTTTTTCTTGTCTTCCTTTTCTTCATCAGATAAACTCTTGAAGAATCCGAGCTAAATCAAGTGGATACACATATTACATATTTTTTTGCCATGAAAACCGATATAAAATTTACACAGCCAAATGTATTCAAATTAAAGTAATATACACAAATTACTAACACAAAATTACAAAATATTTGAGAAAAAAATATTTTCCGAATTTTAAAACATTTGTTGTCGTGTTTTAAACTTTTATGAAAACTCAGTGTATCGTAAGTTTTATGAAAAATCTGCCAAAGACCAGTAAAAAAAAAAAAAAACTTTCTGTTGGCACATTCCATGATGGCGGGAAGGGTAGAAAGGAGGAATAGAAATGACCTACAGACATCTCAGCTTCAATATGTGAAAAACGTGCATTAAAAACTGAATTTGTCGTAAATTTTGCGCATGCTGGAAGGCTAAAATAACATAGCTGTCATTTTACAGCTACCACACAAATCTAGGTTTTGGACTGCTACTTACGTAGAAGATAAATATCATAGACAAAGGCTGAACAATTACTTCCATTCACTGATTAACTGGGAGAGATGGAGATTCCAAGCTAAAAGACATCTAGAAATTCATATTTAGTGTTTTGCTATTTGCTTTGACAAATATATTTAGAAACAACTGCTGAGCTTCCACAAACAATTCACACATATTGATGAAATCAAATTTAGTGTTGGGTTCTCTATCAAGTCTTTTATGTGGTGAAAATTAGTTTATTTGAATATAGCATATGAGGGCTAGAGAAAAGGCTGAATCTGTGAAGAACTTTTTAAGAGTAGTTAATAGAATTTTTTAAGAAGTCTGATTTGTTTCACAATATTATATGCATGCGAGGCAAAATTTTCAACAACATATATTATGTAAACCAAACACAGGACCACAAAAAGAGAACTGCAATTTTCAACTTGCATTATGAAAATCACTCTTCACATTATATGATTTAATATAAAATTGGGCACTGCAAAAACTGTTACTTTTTTTTAATTAACATTAAATGCAATTTAATAACAATATCTTATGTTAATTAACCCATTATCTTCTGATTTTGAAATATACTATCCACTTCTACTTTCCATTGGCTCTCACTAGGATATAAATGAGATATGTGAGTTCTCGGAAGCTAGACAGAGAGCTCTGGCAGTGACACTGACCACAGTATTATTTCCTCACCCAGCTCTGCAACTTACATCATCTTGTATTAGCACTTTTACTAGTTGAACCACTTATACATTCAGAAATTAGAATAGATTTGAGCAATGTTTGTTTGGCCTTTGCAGTGTAAATCTCCAGCATCAAATTACTTTAAATTTTGAGTTAACAATTATGTTACATAAAAAACCTCATGCTGCGTAGATTTAAGTTCTAAGCATAAGTCGTGCACTTGCTCAGTTTAAAATTTAAAATAAAGATTGTTTAAATCTTCTGAATCTGTGATTACTTTCACTGACAGTCTCAATAAGGTTCAAGAAATCAAGTAATGAAACTCTAAAGTGCAGATGAGAAAAGGCACATATAAAGATATTAATCTATTAATGCATTTTTAAAACCATTTGCCACTAAATAATTCATGTATTTATTCATTAATTTATTTTATTTTAATCTTAAAATACTATTATATACAGAACAATATTATACACAGCAATAATGCAAAAAGTTGAATTCTCTTACTTTATAAATTAATACAAACATAGTTTGAGACATTAAGGTAAATGAAACGTCTCTGTTCAAAAATACTTTCCAGTCATTATAAAGAGGCAAATGACTGAAAAACTAATAAAAGTTTCTAACTGAAGATACTCATCAGTCATTATATGATTTTTGAAAAGCCTCTAAATGTAGCAGAATCATACGTAAACATGCTTGAGAGAAAGGATCTTTTACAAAATTCTGAACATAGAATAGCACAGTTGTCTTATCAAAAATTACTTCTAAGACTTAATTTCAGATCTTTAGTAAATAAGAGAACATGAATTCATACTCTTTGTATTTAAATTAATTTATATGTGAAATATAAATTTAATACTAACATTTACACATTATTATGAAATATATAGTTAGTTACAATCAATACAAACCAGTTTAAGTCCAGATGAGCATATTTTAATAATCAGTGTTTACACATAACCATTTTGATGATCACTCAAAATAGTCTTTCCTTGTATAAAGGTGTTGCAGCACTTAGTTGGCAAAATTGGTAAACTTAATTGCCTGATGTGTGATGTGCAAATTACAAATGTTCCCAAATGTTTATGTGGTGACCACGTTAACATGAAAGTACACTCAAAATTTCTTGCACATAAACTAAAGTTATAATAGAAAAAGGGCTCATTAGTTATTTACATTGATGAGATATATGATACATGTTTATAGTAAGAGAGAAGAATTACATAACATTTAAATATCTTGTAATTCTTTTGATTCAGAATAACATCAGCTTTAAGCAAGGAAAAAATATAAACACTTTCATATCAAAAATCATTTAAAAATAATACACAGAAATGGCAAAATAACTTCAATATACATATGGTGAATCAGGTATTTACACAACTTTGGAACACTATAAATGTTCAAATATAAAATTTTTGTATTACGACTTTATCATACTGCAGAATTAAGAGTATATCCATTTCTCATTCACAATCTGACATAGAAACAATAAGACATGAAATTCTCATTAACTTACTGCCAATTTCAATAGTCCGAAAAAATTGCCACTTCTTGAATGTTGACGATTCTTCAAATCCCAGATTAGCATATTTTCCCCAATATCTGATAAAGATTAAAAAAAAAAAAAAAAGGAATGAACAGAAATATTAATTCTAAACAAGTTAGTCATGTTTGTCTGGCATGTTGATAATACTGTGGACAAGAACTAAATATAGCAATTAAGCCACTAAGTCAAATCTCCAAGAGGCAAACTTCATAACCAGAGATGTGACACCTGAGAACCTTATCCTCAGATCTTATATGATGAAGATATTAAAACACACAGAAGAACAATAACACCCATAGCAATTATTTAATTATACAGAAGTGCTTATTGGACATGTTTAAACACTATAGTCTGGTTCTTCCCAGATGAAAAGAGTTTCATTTTTAATTAAAATGTGACTAGAAAGAATGATAACTGATTCTGTGTACCTCCACTAAAATTTCTATGATTGTACATAAAAGATTTCTATGATTGTTCACTGCTGAAGGACTTAGAAACTTTATCCAACATTCCTTCCCCCCCCCACATTATGATCAGTGCTACTGTTATATTAAACAAATATGGCCGTCAAGACTTATATTGAAAAATTAGCATAGAATAGTATGCATTTGCTTTCACAGAGTTCAGTTTCCTCTTATATGGCTCACGTAAGCCAGAAAAGGCTGTTTAAGAATTTTTATGGCTTGAGAGTTCTAACATGATGCTTTATGTTTCCTATATGCCTATGTTTGTAGTGTGATTATGAGACTAATAAAGCAGTAACCTTACTATAATAAGGCTTATTAAAAGCTGCTGTCATGAATTTTATTGACAAGTAGAAGTGAAAACAACAGATCCAAGTAGGCTTCTGAAGCTGCACCATTAGCATATTGCAAGATTGACAACTACTGAATTAACATTTTTAATACATATTAAAAATATGAATAAATACACTCCATCTGAACAGCTTTCATTTCCTTAAATTATAGGTTATCCTGTTTTAAAATTACCTTTTGTTTAGAAACAAAACATAGTTATTAATATGAAATAAAAAATATTTTGATTTTTTTTAAAGATTTTCTGGCTGAAGTAATATGCAATACTTACATATTTTGCCATCATTATTTTTAGAATGCTGCCAAACAATGCAATTTACCACCAATAAGATCATAAGATCTTTGCTTTGGTTTTATGTGATTTGGATTAATTCTTGATAAGCCAGCTTAGCTTTTATAAAAAAGGATATAAGTTCTCCGTTTTTCTCTAGCAAAAAGTTAACATTTGGTAACTGCCATCTACAGAACAGCAAACACTAGAGTACTTTCAAAGTTATATGCCACACATATTCACAATACTGAAAAAATATCAGAAAAAAGTGCACAGTAAATGACAATGCAGAATCACCAGTTAAATTCATATTTAAGTGAACTCACAATTCCAAGTTCATGAGAGTGACATTCTGGCTTAATGCTAGTATATGGTACACACAGGATTTAGCGACATTATGGTGATTAGTAAATTAGTCATTTTGGTGTTGGTGTCAATTTTCAAAATCGTGCCAAGGCTGTATTGTATACTAGGATTTTACCAACATTCTTTTTTCGCTACCTTAAACTCTAGTGGAGATTTTTGGGAGAAGAAATAATTGCTCTTAGTTTTAATAAGTTTATCTGCTAGATAATCTCAAAGTTTGCTCTCATATTTAAGTTTTATATTCCATTTTAGTAACTTGTATTTGTTGATGGTTGGCACACAATTTTGGTGGAATCTTTTCCAACTTTCATAGTTGAAAGAAAAATATGTAAGTACTTAAAATGCTTTGTATATGTTATATTATTATTAATCTTCATTAAGATGGAATACATTTTGCTTGTGAACAATTATGATCAATAGTAAAACTCAAAAAGCATTTTCTATTAGTTTAAAAAAATCCATAAAGAATTAAAAAAAGGCAGAATAATCACTGAAGTATTACTGATATTATAAAACGATTCTTTCTAGTTAAAGCAATCACTGCAGTTTGCCAAAATGGTAAAATTTATCTGCTACATTTTTAATTCACAGTTTATTAATTTAAAATGCCCACTACAGTTAATTGCCAAAATTAATATGCAGTAGCCACTTTAACAAAGAAATATTTATAAAAATTACTTCATTTTTAAAAACATATTTCAAAAATTCAAAATCTGCTATTTTTTCCATAAAGTAATTATTTTTAAAACTAAAATTATTCTTATTCAAATAATTATGTCGTTGGAATATGAAAGAGTTCTTCTCGGCTGCTAAACCCAATCTTCTACAGTTTGTCATTCAGCATGAAGCTTACTAGGATCTGTAAATTTTGATGTAAGTATATAAAAAACAGTTGGAAAAGGTATAAGTGCAAGTAGTGATCCATGCAGAACTGGATTTGTTAACTGTGTAATAGCAACAATACCATAAGCATGTAACAGCCAATGTCCTAATAAAATAATCAAGTTTCGAATATCTCTTATAGATGTAATGAACAAAGATTTCATAGATTGATCTAGTCTAAAGGCCAGATGGGCAGCTACAGATATGAAGGAAAGAATTATTACAATGTAAGGAAATGAGTAATACAGTAGACCACCACATGTTGCTTGTAAAAGCACAAGAACAGGTATAAGATACATTGTGAGGTAAATGGATTTTTTACCTCGCCCACCAGAATATTTGCTGACTATTAGTGGTCGAAATAATAACATGAATAAGAGTGCAAGTGCATAATGTATAAAAATCATAGAATATAAAGGATAAACTGCTTCTTGAGTGCAACGCAATGTTTTAACATATCCAGGAGTAGGATTATGCAACAAAGTATACCAATCAGATAATCTTTTAACTTTGCAAGCATGAATGTCAAAACTTCCTCTCGGCTCACTAAGCAATAAAGTTGATACAGCAGATAAAACATTTTCAATGAAAGCACTAATATGAAGCGAAAGTACATCTTTGGCAAAATTTCGTCTTTTCATAGTCTGGTCAATAATGTACCATTCAAACACTAATAAAAGCAGAGCCATAAAACCTAGATAAAACCAATCATAGAAAGTAGGGAAATCTTTACACTGTAAACAGATTGAATTTGCAGCAGCTCGGAAGCCGCGTGGGCAAGCTCCACATTCACTTAACGTTCCATTTATACGAATACGTCCACAGTACAGACCGGGACAGTGTGTGGAATGGTCCATAACCATTTTTGCTTCTATTACCTTGAGACACAAGACCAGAATATCAAAAGTTCTCTTATATAAAATCAAATATACATTTAATTTGAAAACATTAAGATATATAATGACTAATAAACATTCTCCGTTGTTTCACGCGAACAGAAACACAAAGTTGTTATTAACGAACGAAATGAGGTCTTTTTGCCTTTTGCTAAAAAATCAAGAGCTGTTAGGGATGAAAACACCGATAGGTTTTGAATGATCTTTAATCTCATTGGAAAATGGAAAGATAAAAAAAGGAATAATTGTAAGGCATGCTAATATTTTTTAATCTGATATTTGAAAATATCATTGTGCTGTTATAGTTAAATTTAAGACCATAACTTTTATTTTGAACATTCATTTGTGCAGAAAACAAAGTCATTCTCAGAAAACTAATTTTAAAACGTTTTAGTGAAATTATTTCTTTTTTTTTTCAAGATTCCTGAATTATTGTAGATGTTATTATGGTATGTTATATACCATAATACAAACTTATAACGACAATCGTAAGATCAAATACGGAAGTCAGCATTTCGATCTTTTCCGGTAACGAGTTAGAAATGGCTGCCCGAGAAAAAACTAGAGATGAATTAGATATGAAAACTTTGAGAGAATTGGCCACTTTGCCAGCTAATAAATTTTGTTTTGATTGCGGTCAGAGAGGACCAACATATGTAAATGTTACAATTGGTTCTTTTGTGTGTTCTGCGTGTGGAGGGCTTTTGTAAGTAAAAGAAAGAGCATTGAGCTCTATAAACCATATAGAATTTTCGGCAAATATGTTATATTTCCAGTAATGATAATTTGTCTTCCAGACTTTAATTACATTCTTTACATTTATAACATAAATAACGTGAGTTAAAATATAAAATGCTTTCAAAAGCAAGAATGTTTGCTACATTTAAATACCCTTTAGTCTTATTCTCTATTTAAATCTTGTCTTCTATTTTAATGATTAAACTGTTTAAGCATTTTATTAAACTCATAATAAAGCGGCTGTGTATCATATAAGAAATATCTTAAGATTCTGTATTTCAAGGGACCTTTTTTTTTTTTTTTTTTGTTGTTGTTTTTCCAGACGGGGTTTGAATCCACCGCACAGAGTTAAATCGCTTACAGTATGTTCCTTTACAGAAGTGGAAATGGATCGAATAAAAAGTCGAGGAAATGAGGTTCGTATAGTGTATTCTTTTTTAGTAAATGAGGTGATATATCATAGCGAACATCATTTCTGTTTAGAAAATTGAATTTCTCCGTGTATTTGATGCTAATGAAAGAAAAAGTATACAGAAAAAAAATTCTCTGAGTATTTTTGAAATCGTTATTTGATAATCTGAAGGAAAGGTTTGCTGTGTTAGAAGTCATATAATCATTAAGGTAGCAGTTAATTACCAGAAGCTGTTAAATAAAGGGGCTCCGTTCAAATTTAAAAGTATCTGAAAAACGTAATGGTTCTTTTAAGAAACCCTCTTCCGTATTATAATATCAAATAGTAGCTATTGATATAATCAAAAAATATAATCTCGGTTGATCTTTACATTATGGTAACTTGGCGTTTTTTTGGCGAAAATTTGGCGACCAACTCTCCTACAGCAACCCTCTATTTTTTTTCCCCGCCGCCATTTTGTCTTCACGAAGTAAAGACATGTTTCTTTTCTTTTTATCTACTGAACACTTCTTCCAACAATCTAGTAGCCAAATTACACTTATGCTAGAAATTTTATCAAACAAAACTGCTTAATCATGACAAATATATTCACTGCAAAATTGGGAAAAAGTGCACAATACCATACTCCTTACGCGTTTTTCAAAATAACACATGCACATATACCATGTACAACGGCGACTTATTTTTACTTAAAAAAAACACATCCCAGAATTGCACAAAATGGCATTGCGCACACTCTTCACTATATCCATGTACACTGCTTTTTTCTCATAAATTAGAAAAATTTCACGAAAATACATGACAATTTTCTCAATCTTTAAACCCGTAAAAAGAACATATATGAAATTACCTGATCGCGAAAAAGTATTTACCCTTTACAAATATGAACATTTCCACATATAAATAAATAAAATATCCAAACCTTTTACCTCTAAATCATCTATTACATTATACACGTCACCAACGAATTCATACCGCAAGCATTACAAATACTTAATATCAATATTTAAATTATTTCCATGCACGTTTATTTCAACTTAAACGTATACCAAATTCCTACAAACATAAAATTCACAAGTAACTATCATTTCATTAAAATATAATTAAATTCAAAAACGCTACTTAAAATATAAATGAGCACATACATTAAATTAATAAAAATTACCTTACATCCTAATTACTTTAAACTAAATCATTGCTAATAACAATTTTCCCAATAATACAAATTCCTTTCCACCTTACATTTAGAACAATGCATGAAATAATATCCTCAAATAATTAAAAATACTAACTTACCTAATCTTCTTCAGAATCTTGATTACGTGTCCGATAACTTTTCTTGAGTTACGGCCATGGGATCCAAAAATTCACGAACACTGTTTCACACACACACAGAATAAATCAAATACAAAATTTCTAGATTTGTTCCCCGATTTCCCCCCTTTTCCGATTCAAGAACCGTAATTCGTCCATTAATATCACATGACATATCCCATGATCTCTCATTTCCCTCACACAAAATAATGCGTAATCGGAACTGAGTACTGCTCACATTATTACCAAAGTCCCAGGTAGTAACCTTTATCGCCTCCAAAATGTCGCCAAACTACCAGTTACCGTATTGTAAAGATCAACCATAATCTCTTTGAATAAAAAATCAAAACAAAATGAAGTTTTTAAAAAAAAATTGTTTTTCTTTCTGTGGCTGTACTACTTAAATTATATATATTAAGAAATTATATGTAAGTCATCTATTTACTGAGTATTTTGCATTTTTAGATCATTCCCCATAAACATTGCTAGCAGTAAATATAAATATATTAATAATACTATGTGTTTGATCGAAATAGAGGTGAATTTATGTAATTATCCAGTTTGCAGTTATTAGCAATCTCCAATGATATAAAAAAAATAACAATCATACCCTTTGTCTTAAAATGCAGGTTATTAAAAATACATTCAAAGGTAGTTCCAGCTTCAGCATTGATCTGCCCTTGATTGGAAGTGCTAGCTTTAGTACTAAGAATTTATTCTGTAAGGTATGCATCTCAAGACTTTATAATCGTTGGTAGACCATAGCGACTGACCAGATACATTGGGAAAAGCTTGTTGAAACAGCATTGGCCTGTAATAGTCTGTAGTGAATTGAAGATTATTACATGTTCAGTATGTTACTGAAGAATTAATTTCAAAAAGATATTTCAAAAGTTTTGGTACAACTTTGTCATTGTACCCCCCTCCCCCGACCACATTTAGCAGTTTCAGATTTTCGCCAAGATCACAGCAATAATTTTGCTGAGGTCGTGAAGGCTGCTATAACAAAACAGTACCAAGTATTTTAGGTTGACATCCTGAAAACCACATTTAAACATATAAAAAAGTCTTCTTGCTGATAATTGGTTTCATAGTTCCAGGATTTCTTTTCTTACTGCTTTGCCCTTCATATACCTTTGGGCTGAAGAATTAACTTGAAATGATATAATAATCCAGGGGCTCCCAAATTTCAATATGCGGTGCACTTACGGTTTTGTTAGTTTTTCATGGTGCGCCGGTTGCAGTATTTCTACTATAATATTAATCAAGCACAGAAATAAAAACAACTTTTTTGTGAAAAAGTATAACAATTGTAATTTATAGAAAAACTTACAAATTAAGTACAAATAAAAGAAACTTTCAGTGGCAAATTAGAAAGTCAATGTGACAGGTGAACTTCTTGATCTCCATACAGTTTTTCAAATCGTAGAAGAAGGCTTTATATAGCTCTTCTCTTTTCTTGCTGTGTGCTGATTTCCACAGCAACAGGTGCTGTTTGGTTCTCATTATAGCAATAGCTGAAAATTCAACTTCATATAGACAGGATATTAAAGCAGGATATTTAATTTTGATTGAAATCTAAAACTCCGTTAAATCTGAATAAGCAAGTTTTGTTTGCAGGTTGTTGTTGCAATTAAACTGTCTTCATCTTGCAAAGTAAAGTCCTGAGGTTCTTGAGAATAAAAAGGATCTTGGATCAACATAAATTTATCTACATCATCTTCTGCAAAGTATTTTGCGAACCATTTAGTGAGATTTGAGAGGTGTTCCATAAAAAGGGATAGCAGTTCCTGTAGAACAACTTTATTAGAAGCTGTGTATTGCTACAATGTAGAAAACCAATCTTGAGTACCACTGTCATTGAATTTTCTTATCGACAACTGCAGCTTTTTCCTAGATACTAAAATCTTTTCTATAAGTTTCAAAATATCCATACATTCCCTGTTGAGACAGAATGAAGACATTTAGTTTGTCGATTATATCTCACTAATGTGCTAGTTTCAGCAGAAGTTTTATTTGGTAAAATACTTAGTGATCGCATGATCAGAAATGCAAACCAGTGTTTTGCAGAAAAGTAAATTTCTTGATGCAGTTCAAATGCATGAAGCAGGACATTGCCATACGAAAGCCCTGGGGAACTCTTAGTACACCTGATCCTTGTGTTCAGCTTACATGTTTTGGTAGAGTTTTTTGAAAAATCTTGCTTTCAGCAGTCTAGTTTTTATGTAATGGCTAATCTTTAGAATATGGTAACAGGTAGTTTGGCAACATTTTGGTAAGGCGATAAAGGTTACTAGCTAGGATTTTAGCAATAATCTGAGAAGTACACAGTTCGAATCACAGATTATTTTGTCTCAGAGAAATGAGAGATTGAGACATGTAATGTGACATTTTCCGGAAAATTCTGATCGTGATTTTAGCTAATAAGCACTTAGAAACAATTTTCGCTGCTAAAGTGCAGAATCGCCCACTTATTTGTTTGGCGCTTTTTACAAGAGTAAGAAGAATTGGATTTTGTCAATTTTCTTTGACTTTTTAAGTGAAAATAGGTCGATGTGTACATAGATAAAGTCAAGAGTGTGCGCAATGCCATTTTTGTGCAATTCTGGGATATTTTTTTAAGGGAAAATAGGTCGACGTGTACATGGATACCGTGTATGTGCAATTCTTAAAAACGCGGCAAGCAGGCACTCTCAATTTCGCACCTAATCTTCGTCGTAATTAAGCATTTTTTTTTCCATAAAAGTTCTAGTATAAGCGTAATTCGGCTAGCAGTGTTGGAAAAAATGTTAAGAGGGGGAAAAAAAAAAAAAAAAAAAAAAAAAAAAAAAAAAAAAGAGCCTTTAGTTCATGAAAACAAAATGGCATCCAAAACAAAACTAGCAGGTTTTGTTTTGGAGGCCATTCTGTTTTGCTGTAGCATGGTTGGTTGCCAAATTTTCGCCAAAAAATCGCCAAGTTACCATAATGTAAAGATTCACCGTAATTTTCTACTAGGACACATTCTAATGCCGAGTTCAACTGAGAACTTAGCGATGCAAGTGCTTCCTTGTATATAATGCAATGGGTCCACACAGCATGCTGTTTTTTGCTGTAAATAAGTACCTGCAATCTTTCATAATAACCAGATATTGATCGAGCACCATCAGTACATACACTAGTGCACTTTTTCCAACCTAAATTATTTTCCACTATAAACTTGTCAAGTATTTTGAACATGTTTTAAACTTTTGCACTTTTTATCATGTTCTTAGCAGAATATCTTCAATAATATTATCAGCCAGATAGGGTACATAACGCATAAGGTTTGCATCATTGTTACTATCCTCTGGATGCAGACCAAATTCATTTCCTTTCATTTTCTCTATCAGCTGATCATTGAGATCCTGAGCTATACATTGAATTCTTTGATTAATAGTGGTTTCGGATAGAGCGATAGTGTATGATATTTTGTACTTTTCCACTCTGTTAGCTATCTTGAAAGACACTAACTATGCATTACTCAGAACTGACACTTGTTTAATGAACACACTGCTTTGCTTTTGTAACTCTTGAAACTTTCTACTAAAAAATCACGAGATTTGTCAACCAAATTAGTGTGAATGCCCTTGAGATGTTGCTTTAGCTTAAGATACTTGTGAGCATACTTTTGAATGCAAAGATTTTTTTAAATAAGCAACATCTGTTATCTTTCATTATTGTTTACTTCTACTAAAGTAAAATCAGAATGAAAGTAACTTTCTTTGTAGTTATGATATTTTCACTTCTTTGCTCCTGCACTATTTGTTGCTGCCTTATCACTCAAACTTGAATTTTTGTTACTATCCGTTTGTTTGTTCAATGATTGTACAATCTTTCCCACCTATTTATGAGTTTGATGCCAACAATCATCATGAACGAAAAAAGAAATGTCAGCAGAAGCTAGTGCTGAGAAGCCAAATATAGCAGCAATCTCAGGGCAGGAAGTAAGTAACAGATGCAAAAAAATGTATGGGAATAACTGAGTACAAATTTGATGCAATAAGGTAGAATTATTGCAAATATTTGATTCTATAATAGTATTAATATCCAAATTATAGCCTCCATAAAGTTAAATTAATAGTATCCCTTCTTACACATCATGTTTTTTCATTTTTCGAAGGTTGCTGTACTGTTTTAAATTTTCTCCAAATTAATTTTAATTTCGAGTTAAAATAACATACTGAAATATAATTATTGAAGGTGCTAAAGTAACAAGCATGAGTATAATATTCATAAATTTTCAGCACAGTTTTGAAGGTTTAAACATAGAACCTTCTTTTACTGCAAAAGTGCAAAGGACAAAGAAGCCTGAGCTCAGATGAAGCTACTGGCGCCATCTGTTGATAGAAAATGAAAATGAATCAAAAAGTTCATAAGCAGATTTGATAAGTTTCTAAGCTATTTGAAATATGGGGCCCATTGTAAGTCTGTTATATTTTAATACTATTTATTATATTTTAATTTTTTGGAGCACTAAGCTACAGCTTGTGTAGCTTATACGTAATTCCGGCTCTGCATAGTCCATAGTTGGAAATTGCACCATAATAATCCATTTGGTAAAAAGAGATTGGCATTTATAAATATGAAATTTACAGTGAAAAAATATAAATTCATGAATATTGAATTGGTATTTCTTGTTATCTTAACTGCTGAAAAAATTTATTTTGAATTTAACAACGAAATATCAAAAATTATTCTGTATCAATGTAACATTAAAACCACTAACACTATATATATGTTTGTCATAATAAAAAGCTTTCATTTTCTAAATTTCTATGGACCTAGTGCTAATAAATTTTGTACAGATTTTATTCTGTTTATATAGATATTGATTTCATTTGTGCGAAATAATTTTTTTTTTAAATTAAAGTTACTTCACCTCTTAGTTCCCAGCATGTCATATACGATATGCTTCAGTTTCCTTCCATAGACTCACTGTATCAAATGCAGTATGGAAGTTAAAATAACACGGTCCTCCATATCATATATAATATGTTGAAAAGGAATGTTTTATTTGACATTTTAAATACACAAAAATCACATCATAATGCCACAAAACATAATTGAACATAATGTCATAAATGCTGACCTTGCTCCTATATACTATTTTATTCTATGAATATAAAACATGTGATACAGTATGCTTTCAGAGTTCAGAAATATTTCCCACAGAGCAAGTGGCTTAAAATTTTGGGTTAATCTTTGGATTATGGTAACTTGGCGATTTTTTGGCGACCAACCCTCCTACAGCAACTTGCTAATTTTGTTTTGGACGCCATTTTGTTTTCATGAAGTAAAGGCATGTTTTTTTGTTTACTCAGCATTTTTCCCAACAATCTGCTAGCCGAATTACACTTATGCTAGAACTTTTATGGAACAAAAGTGCTTAATCATGATGAAGATTAGGTGCGAAATTGGGAGAAAGTGCAGAATCGCCCACTGCTTGCCGCGTTTTTAAGAATTGCACATACATGGTTATTTTCACTTAAAAAAAAAAAAAAAAAAAAAAAATCCCAGAATTGCACAAAAATGGCATTACGCACACTCTTGACTTTATCCATGTACACTGTTAAAGTCCTAGCTAGTAACCTTTCTCGCCTTACCAAAATATCGCCAAACTACCTGTTACCATATTCCAAAGATTAGCCAAATTTTGCATATAACTATTACAGTAGACTATAATAGGCAAGAATATTTAAAAATTCGGCTAATATTTGGAATATGGTAACAGGTAGTTTGGCGACATTTTGGTAAGGCGATAAAGGTTACTAGCTAGGACTTTAGCAGTGTACATGGATAAAATCAAGAGTGTGTGCAATGCCATTTTTGTGCAATTCTGGGCTGATTTTTTTAAATGAAAATAGATCGACGTGTACATGGATGATACCGTGTATGTGCAATTCTCAAAAATGCGGCAAGCAGTGGGCGATTTTGCACTTTCTCCCAATTTCTCACCTAATCTTCGTCATGATTAAGCACTTTTGTTCCATAAAAGTTCTAGCATAAGCGTAATTCGGCTAGCAGATTGCTGAAAAAAAATGTTGAGTAAAAGAAAAAAAAAAAAATGCCTTTACTTTGTGAGAACAAAATGGCATCCAAACAAAAACTAGCAGGTTGCTGTAGCAGGGTTGGTCGCCAAATATTTGCCAAAAAAATCGCCAAGTTACCATAATCCAAAGATCAATCAAAAATTCTTAAGTTTGTTTACCATAATTGTATGAGAAAAAGGTACTTCTATGTTATTCCCTCCCCCAAGATTAAATTGCCAGTCAACCTAGATATCTCACTAAAATCTAGCTGCGTGTTCTTATACCTCGCCACGTAATCATATATTTGCACCATATTGCATTTTTGCTCTAGCCGCGTGTTACTGATTTTTGATAAAAATTTGAATTTGTATTGTTTATTTAAAGATATATTCATCACATTGTTTATGTATCATTTTTTTCAAGATTCTTTTACTTGACAAATGAGTATGCAAAAATAGACACACATCGAATGTTATGTTAACGACAAAACCATTTGGAGCTGCAATGTTAAAAATTGCAAAAAGAAGAAGGGCCCGTTTAGGAAATTGGTTCAGCAGTCTAGAATATCGTTTGTTACTGTTTTTAAGATTTATGTAATCTTGGGTAGAGGAGCTGATGTTCATGAAATGGTGTGTAACAAACAGCTTAATATGTGTGAAAATGCTGCAGTTGACTGGAGCAATAACACATGATAAAATAATAGTATTGAGGGTAGGAATAAAGATTCTTAAAACTGTTCTTAGGAAATGAAATTAGTATTATACTTAAGAGTATTGTTTTTATAGTTCAACCGTCTCAAACACAACCTTAGCTGGCATTCTGCCAAAACACATAGACTCATCCAAACAGGGCGTTATTACTTGCTGCAATGTGAAAGGTAAAGTCCCTATCCTTCCACCCTATTTTCATAGTAACTCGGTCTGAATGGCACATGTGTGTATGTGCTCATGGTTGCGGATGAGGCGGTCGAACTATATATATTGTGTTGTTTATTTTTACATTCGTTCTTCATGAGTGTGGTGAAATTATAGCTGAGATCTTGGTGCAAATCACCAAATATGGTTGGAGGCCACTATAGCAAAGATGTACCAGGAAAAATTTTAATATGATCATTATTACTAATGTTTGATTTCAAAATTTTAATTGTAAATATTAGGATTTTCTCTTTATATTATTAAAAATCAAAGTTACTATATACAAAAGTATAAATATTTGATAAAAATCTAGATTTTACAGGAATTATTTTTTCTCGTTAGGATTAATCAGAAAATGTGCTCAAAATGCATAATAATTTTAGAGCTTCAATATTACAGGTCCACAAGGGAACTTCATTCTCCCTGCACTGAGAATAAAGAGGTTAAAAATGAACACTTGTATAAATTGCTATTCGAATTTGTTGATTTTTTAGATTAGCACAAGTTTGAATGTTAATAATGGTTTGTATATAATAATTGTTTTAATTTCAGTATTGTAACCATATATGGCTAGGAAAATATGATGCCAAATCTTCTGATGTTGACCTTTCAAATCCAGACAAAAGGAAACAATTTATGATCCAAAAGTATGAAGAAAAAAAGTATTATGTTGATCCTAGGGAAGCTATCAAGAAAATGAAACCTCGTGCTCCTGCAGTACCAAGTGTTACTACCTCTTCAGTCACTCAGTCTAAAAGCCATACTGTTATTCCAAGCAAGCAAGTGACCCAACTACAAGTAATCATTTCTTTATTACTTATTAGTCTTATAGAAATACACCCCTTGAAGTGGCACTAATTGGTTGTATTCTATATATACACAAATGTGCAAAACTTAAGCAGCCTATTAATTTTTTAATATAGAAGCATAAAACTGTTGAAAATGTTTTTTTTTTTTTTTTTTTTTTTTTTTTTTGTGAACAGTATGTTAAAAAGCCAATGCAGTAGAAAGGTAATGCATATGCAAATATCAGCAACATTACATCTGAGGATATGTCAGGGTATAAAAAACATAATATTGGTCAGCACATCATGCAAAGCAACTTAAGAAAGAGAGATTCATATCCAGATATTCTTCTGTAAGTGAAAGTGAGATTGTATGTGCAGTATGGCTGCAAGAAAACACCAGGATGTTTTACACATGGTAGAATGATTGGCAAGCTTGAGGAAAGGTGTAGTAGTGTGACCTTTGACTTTTCACGCTGAAGAGTTTAGAATTGATAAAAAATGTGTTTCATGAGCTTAGGAAGCCTTCCGAATGACAGGTAAACCTATAAGAATAATTGGTGGTAGGGAGCCTATGAAAATAATGATGACTGATATGTTACCTTACAGGCAAAAAAGAGATTGAAATCTGGCAGCAGGCAGCATTGCTCAGCCTGAATTTGTTTTATTATCTATTTCATATTTTGTCTCAATTTAAAGAGTTTTTGATAACAAACCATTAAAAAAGCTCATTTGAACACTTTTTTTTTATGAATTTTTCTTTTTTAGTTTAGGTTGATAGGGATGGAAAATGCAGTTATTGCTCTTTGATACAGTTTTTTATTTATGATTTAACAGATACAGTTCTTTATTTATGGCATAGCATTATGAATGTAAACACATAATGTTTCTAAATTGATGTGAGAGGAATGCCAATTATTTAATAACCAGTAAGCCTCGATTCTCTAAAAAATTGAATCACTATAGCTGGGAGAATTAAAAAGTAGAGAATAAATCCAACTTTAAAGTTGTACAGTACAAAGTTCGTAATCGGGACTTCGGCGATTCCGGATTAGGGTTTTTTCCGGATCGTAGATCATCAATTTAAATCTGGTAAGATGGCATGCAGAAATGATACAATTAAAAATATTAAATTGTAATTTATGAAATAAAGAACAATTATGATCTAAAGAGTATCAAAATTTACAAAAAAAAAAAAAAAAAAAAAAAAAAAAAGCTTAATATTTATTTGTTTAATTATTAAACATTTCTTTCAATGTAAGTTGTTTAAGATGCTTTCACAAAAAATTCAAAAAGTTCCTTTTGTGTCATATGTAGTAGACTTTCCAATGCTAACTTCTCGCATAATTTTGAGGCGGATAGGCCTTTATCCATATTTTGCAGTAATTCCACTTTTTGTTTAATGGACATTGAAACATACTTTTGCTTTGTAGATTCTTTGGCAGCTCCAGAATTGGAAACTCTTTTTGACATAATCGAAAGTTCAAGCTGAATTTTTATAAAATTGTTCTAACAGCCTGCAAAAAATAATAAGCCGGATCCAATTAGAAGATTAAGGAACAGTGCAATCTGCAACATTAACTGAAATGCCTTAAATTATTTTAGCCTAGCTTATACCATCCTTTATGCATTAAACACGCTTGCATAAACGCATTATTCGTTTACGCATGCGCATAAAGTTTGTAGCTTTGAGGTCCAGATTATAGATCATTCTGGATTATGGACATCTGGATTACAGACTTTGTACTGTATATACATTTTTGAGACTTCACAATAAGATGAAATGAATTTATATACTAAATAAATAATGTTCAATAAAGATTAAACAAAACTGAGTTATTTTATTGTTCTGTTTTACAACATAACTCTTAACTCTAACTTTGTGCAGTTAAAAAGTTAAAAAAAAAAAATCAGCTCATGAAATTAATCAAAATTTAACAAATTAAATCAAAATTATTGTACACAATGTTTCTGGTAAAAACATTGTTAAACATTAATGTACATAAAATACAAATGTAGATTTCAAACTACATTTGAAGTGATCATGGTCTGGATGTAGCTGGAATTCTGTATTTTTTTTGTTTCTCAAATCCCAAATTTCCAGATTTATAAAATGTTCACTCATCATCTTTCTCAAATTTTGTTTTAGATAAGATATGCCATACAAAGATTACATAACTTTAGAAATCTTGTAAAAACTTAATACCAAATTTAGACAAATGTATTGTATAGAAACAACTCAAATTGTAAACATTTAGGCTGAAGGAAGATGGAAAACAGAAATAGCCTGTATTGGTAAAATTGATTAGATATGTTTTGTCTTCCTTGGACCTGTTGTCAAAACTTCATTTAATTTTACAACTGATAAGAACATTTAAACGTCCCATAACTAGCCTTACTTTATGGAGACCATACAATATTATTTATTTTCATTACACAAAAATACGAGTGAAGCTTTTAAGGCAGAAGATTCCTTTGAAGATTCTATTGTTTGAGACTGTGGAGATAGCTTGTGGAATAACTAGACAGCTGACAAAATTTTTTATATACCGTGGGCCATTCTGTTTATTCCAGCAGTTCCTCATTTCTATAATATGCTGATATGCATAGTTTAAGTTCTAATTAATACATAAAAGTTTAACCAAAAAGCCATTGTCTGCATCAAAATGTCTTTCCGATCATACTGAACTGTAAATTGTTAAGAAAGAAATATAAGTGCAGCAGCTTCTTCCCCCCCCCCCAATCCAAGAAAAAGAAAGCTGAACTCCACAGTTATTTGCAGAAACGTTGAGAAAACAAAAATGTTGCTCAGCAGCAGTGGAATGGTAGTCTGCGGTTTGAATCCTTTCAAATAAGCTGGCTGTATGGGCATTTTTGTAGTTTTTGTATGGGTAACATGAATTCGAGACAGTTTTCTTTGAAAGCTGTCCACATGACAGGTGGCATCACCGTAATCAAATATTAATAATAATAAAAAGTTGGTAAGTGTGAGAAATGCAAATTTATTTTTAATAAATTAAAAAAAATTCTATTTTTTGCTTCACTAATGAAATTTTTTGAAAATATTTGTATATAGCTGAGTTATTTAAAACTGGATTTTTTTTCTTCAGGATTTCTGAAATGGGGTCGCAGTTTGAAATGTTTAAACTAAATGTAAGCTTTGGAACACAAAATTTGGCTTTGCTTTAACTAAAACAGAATAATAAATTGCTGCACAATCTGTGTTAATGAAAAAACTCTTTTATACCCCGTCCAGCTAGGGAAAAATTCGTCCATGCTTTTGTGTTGTGGGAGGAAAGGGGGAAAGAGGAAATTCCTTTGACTTGATCAGCACACATATTTGCGTTTTCTAATATAAGATTACAAGCTTATGTTCACACATTCATTATTTTACAGCTGATGATATGTAGAGAAATAGCAGATTACATGTTGGCTGAACATAAAATGAGATGATGGTGGGATTATGCACAAAATGTATGGGTTATGTTGTTGGTGTTAAATTACTAATATGAAATACCATATTTCTCAGCAGAAGAACATAATATCATGTAATTATTATTAATTTAATCGTAAAAAGGATTTTACTTTCACTTTTGGTGCTTTTACAAGTACATCTTCATTACCATTGAGAAAAATCATAAGACAATGATTAATTTTGAAATGGTACACTTCAGAAATATTTATTATTAATGTATGACTATTTTTATTAGAGCTTTTAATTATTAACTATTTTAGTGTAGAAAGAAGAAATAACCAAATTAAAAAGGAGACTTGCATATAAATTAATAGTTTATCTATTACTTATATCATAGTATGATTACATAAGCAGAAATCATGAGATTTTCAGAATGTGCCAAACTTTTGCAATGATACACACAAAAATTCAGTTTTAAGTAGGAACATCACCATTTTTGCAAACAGAAATGACAGTGTTGCTTGCTGTATTTGAACTTCTAGTGGTTTTTAGAAACAAATTGTGATATTTTTTTTTTACTTGAATTGAATTTTAAAATATACATATGTTGAATTTGCATGCAATAAAAATCTGGAGAACATTTTCTGGAAGACTATTGTACTTTCCTTCAAAATTACTTAAGGGAACAGTTGCTGTAATACGTAACAAAGAAATAAAAATCCAGTTGTAAGTAGGTTGAATTTTGAATGAGGCATATTTATAGTTCATAAATTGATTGATTTTCAAGAAAAAAATGTAGTAAGTGAAATATAAAATATGTATGTATGTATGCAATACATAATTTTTGTAAATTTTTATTTAGTTCACTCATGATATTTCACTGTAAGTGGAATTTTTTCATCGATTTTTAATTTATTTCTTGATAAGGTGTGTTCAAATTTATACACACAGGGTTGTTGAGACTAAACAGAAAATATAATTAAAAATAATTTTATGTAATAAGATTTTATTTAAAATGGATATGATAATAAATGCACTAAAAGGAGAAAAATAACTTATCATATAGTTTAATGGGAATAGATTAAATAATTACATTTTTGGAATTCTTGTACAATTTTATATCATAAATAATAAAAGTGTGCAGTGCCTGAGTAACAAAATCTATTAATTTATTTACATTGTCAAATGTATAAACCATTATCTTTTTAAATTTGTCATGGGTGCTCCATGCTTTTATTACTCGCAATATAAAATTGTAGATGAATTCTGTAAATAGAATTTTTTAATCTATTAACTCATTTAAGCTGTATGATAAATTTTCTACTGCTAGTGTATTATTATATCCATTTTAAACAAAAGCTTATTGCATAAAAACATTTCTTTTAATTGTATTTTATTTACAATAACAGTCAAATCCCACTATAGCACTGGTCAGTGCTAAAACATATTAACTTTGTGGTTCTGTCCAATTTGCTTTACACTTAATATTATTTTATACAACTGTAGCAAACCTCCAGATGTATGAAATCGAACATAGCAAAATTTATGGATATCTTGGACTGAAATGTTTTTGTGATTCTTATAATTTTGTCCAGGATTTCAACAAGTTTTCACTGAAAAATTGCTAACTCTTAAAAGCTTCTGCATTAGAATAGCAGAAAACTCCTTCAGTTCATTTTATCTTCACCCCCATTTTTTTTCTGTGTTCTAAACACAGGCTATATATAACAAAAATGTAATTTCAGGGATGGATCTAAACTATTATTTTTATGCTGAATGATTTATCATGTAGAATTATTAACATATAGGGAAACTGAAGACAGTGAAAAAGAAATTTAATAATTGAAACTAACCTTTAATAATTAAAAAGAAAAAAAAATACAGTTATTATTCACTTTTTGGGAGATGTTACAGTGCTAGTCTTTTTTGTAATTCATCAATTACTTTTTGCACTACTTTGAGAGATGTTCCATTTTTTTTCCTTATCAGATAAGATAAAGTGAACCAAACTTTCAGTCCCTTAAAAGTTTGTTATAATTTTTTTACATATATGCATTTTAAAAAATTTATATGTATGGGTGTAAGCATGTATGTAATAATTTAGATGTTGATAATAGTGTAGCGATGAAGGTGTAGCGAGAGTCATAATTGGCTGAAGACTTTTTCTTGAAAAAACAATTTCTTAGTACAGACATGGTTAAAGGAGAAAAGGCACATACTTTTTTTTGAAAGTTTTGTATTATAATACCGATTTATAATAATTTTCATAATTTAATAAAATAATTGTATTAAATATAATTTTTTTATCTAATGAGGCATATTTATAGTTCATAAATGTTTTAGGTGCATTTTCATTTATTAAAATATAATAATGCTTTATTTGACTATATATATTTCATTTTTGTTTAATCCATTATCTCTCTTTTTTTAATGACTATTAATTAAAATTCTTTTAACAGAGGTCTAGTATTTTGTCTCAGACATTTTCTTCTGGTGATATCCCTGCAAATTCTGTTCCTGATTTATTCAAAGATTTTGAAAAAGATCCATTTAATGAAGCAAAGCAAGGAGGTAAGTTATCAATAAAATGTATTAAAAACTTTTTATGTACCTTGTACATTAAATATATTATTAAGAGCATTTGTAATTATGATAACTTATTTTTTGTTTTACTTAAATGAATTGCTTGTTGGAAATAAACTTTTGAAAGTAATGTGCAAAGTATATTGGAGATCAAAACATTAGAGCATCTCCCTATTAGTAAGTCAGAAGTCAGTCTTCCTTCAGCGTAAATGATAGTCTGCATATTCTAAGGCATTGATTCTGTTAGATGCTGGAGGACAGCACAAGGAACTGAAAACTTTACTTGTTGGAACATTGTCTGTATTAATAGTCTAGACACTGATCCTAAATTGATATGTCTGATGGTTTATTTTAATACAATTCCTTTGAAATTCAACAGAGCTTAAATGTGGGCAAAACTAAGCCAGTATGTAATCCATGCCTTTATTGTCCTTTGGTTGGCCTATAAAGTTAATGTTATATAGCCTGCGTATAATCTGTGTTGACCCCACTTGTCAGTGTTGTATTGCTCAATGGTACATTAATTATTGATTATTAAATTAGTTGATAATACCTTCATATTAGAATGTTGATGTGATGGCCTTTGAGAACTTGAGTTTTCGTTTCAGACTCTGAATTATTCTTACAATATCAATAAATATAGCTTTAATTAAAATCTGTAATCACTTTTGCATCTAATGGTTCTGTGAGACTAAAGGTGCATCCAAGAGATAATAAGAGGTTTTGTTAACAATAACAACATTTATTTACAAGAAAATATACGAAAATTTCAATCAATTAGAGACATACTATTAGGCATCTCTGCCTTCCACGTCTTACACCTTTAGTATCCTGCCTGCCACTGACTATTAGGACGAACGCAGCGCCCTCTAGTCAGAATGACGCTGGAAATACGTAATACTCCCACTCCCCACCTGAACTCACTTGAGTTCACTTACCATTGAATTTCAACTAAATTTACATTCAGGAACCATTTAAAATTACAAGAATAAAAATATAAATAGCATATTATATCAAATACAAAGCTTCAAAATTATTCAGTCACTTGAACATACAAAAACCAAATTACACTTTTAACTTCCAAAGAAAATTGTTCAAATATCAAGCATTAAAATATAAGCACAATTAAACTATCATTAATACACAGATAGAACATTAACAGGTTGCAACTCAATTAAACTAACACAATTAAGGATTAATTTCCAAATTATACACAAGTTGTACTGAGCGTTTTATTTGTCCTTTAGGAGTCTGAATAAGAAGAGAACGAACTTTTCCATCTCTTCCTGGATATAGCTCTAAATTTTTTCCCATCATCCACATATTTCTGGGATAACGCTCATCATTAATCAAAACAATATCATTCACTTTAAATGAAACTATTTTACCTGGTTGTGGAGAAATATAAGCTGATCTTAGATTAAGTAAATATTCCTTTCTCCACCTGTTCCAGAAGTGATTCAAAAGTGTTTGCTGATATTTATATTTCTTTACCAAAGAATTCCTATTAACATTTAAATTTTCATTTTTATGTTTTATTACAGGTAAAGACACCAATCTTTTACCAATAAGAAAATGAGATGGGGTGAGTGGAGAGGGTTCTGAGGGTTCGTTGTACAGATACGTGATAGGCCTGGAATTGACCAGAGCTTCAATTTCCGAAAAAAACAGTTTCCAATTCCTTCAAAGACAGAGAGGATCGTCCAACAATTTTCTTTTAAGCAGGTTTTAACCGTCCGTATCTGTCTCTCCCAGAAACCTCCCCACCATGGACTTTTTTCAACTATAAAATTCCAAACTATACCTTTAGAAGCAAACAAATTTTTAACTTGATCATTATCTATCTGATTCCACCATTTTTTCAATTCACTATTTGCTTTTTTAAAAGCTTTGGCGTTATCAGAATATATAGTGGAACATAATCCTCGACGAGAAACAAATCGTCGGAATCCTAACAAAAAGGAATCAGCACTTATGTTAAGAACTACTTCTAAGTGGATAGCTCTTGTCACTGCACACAGCTGAATATAAGTAAATAACACTTTGAATTAAAATCACGAACAAAAAATGGTCCGGCAAAATCCACACCGCATACATCAAATGGTGGATGCTCTTGAATTCTATCAGGCGGTAAAGGGGCAACCACCTGCATTCCAGATTTCACTTTGAATCGTCTACAAATCAGACAGTTATTTAACACTTTTTTCACAAATTGACGACCTTTAACAATCCAGAATTGTTCTCGTAAATGTGTTAAAGTTGCATCAACACCTAAATGGCACATTTTAGTATGAGAATCACAGATAAGTAGTTCAACAAATTTATCATTAGATGGAAGAAGCCAAGGATGTTTGGCTCGCATATCGTTACTTGAAAACTGTAAACGTCCCTTTAAACAAAGTAAGTTATTATCATCAAGTTCAGGATTCAAATTAAATATGCGTGAACTCTTATCGATAGTTCCTTTAGAAAGAAGTTGGGTAACTTCTGTACTATAATGTTTGAATTGAGTAGCTTTGATCCAAAAACGCAAAGCTTGCTCGAGTTCTGGAGCACATATAGGTCCATTTAATTTTGTAGAATTAGGTTTAGAATTGTGCACAAACCTTTTAATCCAAGCAGTAACACGCAGTAATCTACTTAATTCGCTGAAGTCATTAACGTCCAGTAACGACGACATAGGTAAGTTTTCCATTAGCTGAACTGGTTACCATGGAATTAACCAGTGCAGTCCGTCGCTCTTTCACTATAACGCGTTCATCACAGATGTCATTAAAAATGTTGTAGCGATTCTTGAAGAGGCCACGAGTAAAGTGGTTTAGACAACCAAACAGGGCCTGACCACCACAGAGAACTTGTAAGAATCCTCCTAGCCGATTCTCCTCTAGTAGTAAGGTCTGCGGGATTGTCGGAGCCACTGCAATGGTTCCAACACTCTGGTAGAGTCAGCGACTGCACTTGAGCTACTCTGTTGGCGACAAATGGTTTCCATTGTTTAGAAGATCCTTTCAACCAATGAAGGACGATTTGAGAGTCGCTCCAAAAGAAAATTTGTTTCGCGAAATTAGGAAATAGACCTTGTAAATAATTTCCTAAACGTGCAGCGAGGAGAGCTGCCATTAACTCTAATCTTGCAAGAGTCAAAGTTTTTAAAGGAGCAACTTTACTTTTTGACATTATAAAGCTCACTTTGATTTGGCCATTGTAATTCACGTACCTTAGGAACGCAACAGCCCCATATGCCTTGGGACTGGCGTCACAAAACACACATGAAGAGAAACTTCACTTATTTCTACACTTTCAAAAAACCTTCTTTCAATAGATACTGATTCAAGTTCACAAAGTTCAGAACACCAGGTTCTCCATTTATTTTGTAGGTCACTTGGCAAATCTTCATCCCACTGTTAAACCACGTTCCCACATTTCTTGCAGAAGAATTTTCACAGTGATTACGAAGGGACTAATCAGTCCACATGGATCAAATATCTTTGAAATAACTCTCAAAACGTGACGCTTGGTGATTCTAGCATCAATGGAATCCCTAACATCTCTTAAATCTAATTTAATTTTATCCTCAATCTGATCCCACTTCAATCCCAAGAAATGCTTTTAATATCTCTATTTCCGTAGACGTCAAATAATAAGCATCTTGAACGGTATTGGCTCCATAGCAGAGATCATCAACATAAAGAAAAGAATTTAACATGTCATAACATTTTGGATGATGTTCCTTAAATTTCTTTATGTGAAATTTCAAAACGCAAGCCAAGGAAAATGGCGAAGTAGTTAAACCGAATGGGAGACGATTTAAATGAAGAGTTTCGGTTGAATCACCTACCTCTTCGGGAAACCACAAAAATTTAAGGTATTTTCTATCTTCCTCCGCAATCTCTATCATAAGAAAAGCTTTCTCTAAATCTCCGCAAAATGCAACTTGATATTCTCGAAATTTAAGAATTATGTCCAATAAATTTGCATAAAGATTTACTCCTGATTCTAGAGACTCATTAAGAGATTTATTATTTTCATTAGCCTTACTGCTACAGTCATAAACAATTCTAACTCGAGTTGTTTCCTTGTCATCCCTAATTACCGCTCTGTGGGGCATATAATATCCTGAATTTTTATCTTCATTAACACATTTTCCCACAATCTGACATTCTAACTGATCCGATATAATTTGTTTATACTGGTCATAAATTTCTTGATTTTTATTTAGTTTGTGCTTTAACGAATCAAAACGCTTTTTCGCAACCTCATAATTAGAATTCAACCCAACTGCAGGTCCCAAGTTTTCCTTCCACATCAATCTACAAACGTACCTTTCCCCATTAAATTCCAGAGAATTTTCAAATTTTTCAATCAATTGATTGTCCCATTCAGAAAAGTTTTGTTTGTCTGACTGAAATTCTTCTATTTCCCAAAATTTTTTCAAATCGCACAAAATGGAAGAAGAGTCCATGACTAAACATACATTTTCATAATTATTAGTCAATTTATTACTTCCTTCCACTCCCGCTAGTAACCAACCGAAACAAGAATTTATCGCAGTAATGTTTTCATTTAACTTTACTCTCTCGTCATAAACAATATCCCAAAATGAATCGCATCCGATAAGTATTTCCGTCTGACAGTCGCCAGAAAATGAATCAGCCAAAGGTAAACCTCTTTCCTTCAACGCATTGCGAATAGATACATCAGGAATTTTCAAGGACAAATTAGATATATAATTCCGTTATGACAGCTTCTAACTCGTACGATTTCGAACTTTGATCCCTATTGCGCAACGTCAATGAAACGATACCGTATTCCTTCTCACGTGCTATTTTGTCTCCGAAAGCAAAAATAGCTATTCTTTCGTAGCGTATTGGCTTTAATTTTAATTCTTTAACTAATCGAGATGAAATAAAACTTCGATGACTACCATTGTCTAAAATAACATTAGTTAAGACTGAATTTTTATCCGAACAAGGCTAAAACTGTACATGTTTGTAAAAAGGGCTTATTTTTGGTACATATATTACTATGAGAGACACAGAAATATTCTCGGCGTTTTTTATTAGATTTAGATTGTGAGTCATTCAAAACAGTTTCGCTTTCCACTTGCTTCTTCTCACAACCTCTCGTCTTAACATTAACGGGTTTATTTTTTCTACACACTGACTCATGATGAAAATTGCTTAAAACAATTTTTACACGATATTTTTTGCCCTGCATACGCGAGACATGTGATATTTCTGGAAAACAACACCAGCATCTAGCTTCAGTCCTAAGCTTATTTATTTTTTGTTCTACATCCAATTTTTTACAACTTACGGAATCGTGATGACCGTCACAGAATAAACAAACATTTTTTATTTGTGTATTTAACGCTGAAGCGGTTGATATATTTTTTAGGCTTTGAATAGTTTTTTTCTGATAAGTTTGACCACTTTGATAATTTTGGGAAAAGGATCGTTTTGTTTCGTAACTTTTTAGGGGGCTCATCACAGTTTCGGCAATTTCCCTAGATTCGACTTCATTCCTCAAAAACGTAATAATTTCCGAAACCTCACAATTCACTTCCCTGTTTCGTTTTCGGTGAAAATCTAACACCAAATCTTGTGGTAGCAACTTCAATAATATTGGATTCAATAAATGCCCATATGAACCCTCCGTTACATTTAATAAGTTTCTTATATTAACTTCTATTTCATCATCGTATAATTTACGCAAACCCTTAACATTAGATGAACTTCTCATGGGTTCTAAGCTTAATAATTTAGTCATGTAAGAATTTATAATAGAATCAGTTCTACCATATCTTTGTTTTAAAAGCTCAAGACATGAGTCATAGTTTTTCTCATTTAATTCAAAACCCGCAACAACGTTATATGCAGGACCAGAAAGAAGAGATTTTAAATATTGGAATTTTTCAATTTTCGTAAGTGAATTGTTTGAACCGATTGCGCTATCAAAACAGTTTAAGAATTCCATAAATTTGCCAGAATCACCAGAGAATCGCGAAATTTCTAACTTTGGTAATTTTAAAGCCGTAACGGTGTTTTCCGAAACACTAGATGTGTTAAGAACTGAAGAAGTCCGCTGAACATTTTCTGCTGCTAATTCTTTAATTTTGCTCTTTTAGTTTAATCTTAGCTAACAATATTTTGTCATCGTATTCTTCCGAAGCTTTTAATTCACTTTAAAATTTTTCCGGATCGTCTATGAGTGCTTCCACCTCTAAATCATGGCTTTTCAAGATCTGCTCTTTCGTTTCTAATAGTTCCAGTAGTTCTGATAATGAACTTACGTCTTCGACAGCTTCATCAAGCTTCTGCACTCTTTTAACTAGTTTAGTAACACTAGCGCGAACGTTACTTCTTCTTTTTTCAATTATTTTCGAAAGCTTATCCATATTAACTCCGAATTTGTGAGTTCAAAAGATCTTACCTCCACAGTCCAGTATGCAATGTTACGTATCCAAAAGCGTACGTAAAGTATCCAAACTTCTCAGAAATATAATCCAGTAATGATGACTAATTACTTCCGATATTCCACATTCGCGGACAAGATGCACCAATTTTGCATCTAATGGTTCTGTGAGACTAAAGGTGCATCCAAGAGATAATAAGAGGTTTTGTTAACAATAACAACATTTATTTACAAGAAAATATACGAAAATTTCAATCAATTAGAGATATATTATTAGGCATCTCTGCCTTCCACGTCTTACACCTTTAGTATCCTGCCTGCCACTGACTATTAGGACGAACGCAGCGCCCTCTAGCAGAATGACCGGAAATACCTAAATATTTTTGATTGTAGCATAGTGTTCTATGTTTTTTTTTATTTTTCTCCTTGCTTGTATTAGCTTTTTCTTTTTTGTAAAGATAAACTTCATTTTCTCACCAAAGAGTTATTTTTATTTATAAATATAATCTATTTAAATGGAAAATTTGCTTGTGTATTTATTATTTGTAACTTTTTGCTTTATGTATTTTAGTTCAATTAAGATGATAAGTGACTAAGTTAAAATGATATAAGTGGCTTTATTCAATTTTCTTATCAATTAAGTGAATTCCTTTCATCGATTTCATGTGTTGATGTATTTGATGTTTTTTAGTGTATGTTAGATTTTCACAGCATTAAAGCATTTGGCTCTTTATGATTAAAATAATTAAAGGAATTAACTCTAGTTACTTGCTAATTAATTTATCTTTTTTAAATCTCTTTCATTTGCCATTTATAGAATAATGTGAAATTTTTGCTGAAATATTTTTTAATTTCAGGAAATGGATCAGAAAGTGCATCATTTGCTGATTTTAGCAGTGCCTTTGGTAATTCTGGTAAGAATATATAATTTCTGATAAAATTTCACCATGGGGGGGGGGGAAACTCCCTATAATTTTTAATTTTAAATCACCTTTAAATAAAGCAGCTAAGATGAAAAGATTTGTATTTCAAATCTTAATTTCATATGTTTTAGTCTTAATAAAGTGTAAAAAATATTATTCTGTTTATAAATATTGAGATGTTTTTGTTAAATTTATTATTTTGAGAAAATTAAAAAGGTTTTTGGTAAATATGCTTATTTAAAAGGAATTATTAAATTATGAGTAATGATAAAAACAGATGAATAACAGTGGTTCCCAAGCATTGCACTATGGTAGTCAGACTTACTATAAAATATTCCTGTATTTGCACTAAAATGATACTTAGTGGTTTTATTATCAAATCATCAAAGTGCTGTTGCTATGAGATAAAATATTTCTAACGAATACTGTACAACTATTTACTGGTTTTGAAAACCACCTGTTATCTTTCTGGTTTAGGAAATCACTGAATTTGACGGGGTTTGGTGCCCATGAACTAGAATTAAAACTGCATCTAAATTTATATCTCTGGAAGGAAATCTTATTAAACTATCTTATGACATTGCACTTGAGATCAAAGATAATAATCTGCTGCTAAGCAATATGGTTAAGTTAATTTTAATTCTGTTTGTGAGATTAGATTTATGAAAAGTGGTATTTTTTGCAGTTACTAGGATAAAAACAAATGCTGAGAGTACTGGTGTGGAACATGAAATGAGGATAATCGTTTTTAGTTTGGTCATAAGATTTCAGAAAGTCTGAAGTATAAAATAGGCTTACATTTGTTGCTGATTATTTATGATTTATTAGGAATATAGTTGTTCAAAATATAAATTTAGTTAATATTCTTTGGGAAATTATCATATGAATTTGAAATACATGTTTCGTTAAAAAAGTGCACAAGCCATAGCATAGCTAGGTCCTCATCAGATTTTTAGATATTGTGAAGTGAGAAAATTTGTAAATAACTGTTATAAATATTCCAGATGGTTTTACAATTAAGTTATTTCGTTGTATACAGTTCCTTTAAGAAATATATAAATTCGAGAAGTTTAGTTTATCATCAGTTGAATTACATACTCGTGTTGCATTTTGATATCTAATTTTTCCTCCAATACTTTTTTAAAATTTTACTTTTTTATTTTCTAGTGTGTGAAGTTTTATTATTTTGGAATTCCATGAGATGGGGTGATATGTAAAATCACAAAAGTTGAATTGTACCTGAAATTAGTTTAAAAAATATTATTTTTAATACCACTTAATATAAAATAGTTTGTAATAATGTGTTAAAAATTGCTATAAAATTTATATAAAATTAACATTGCATTTAATTAGTTCTTGAAAAATAATATTTTAAATATTCATGTTGTCTAAATAAATTAAACTGTAGTATAGTTTACTGTTTTAAGTTTTAGAATTTCTTTTATACTAGATGGTTAAATAATAGGTAAAATTTATTACAATTACTATCTCTCTATATTATATATAGAAAGAGGGAGTGTTCTTGAATGATTGAATATTTGTCATCCTCTGGTTTCTCTCTTGTTTGTATTCGTTTACAACTTCAGAAATTTTTGACTAAGACTTTACATCCCATTAATTGATTTTTGCTATTAATTAATGAAGTATTCTAACTTAAATTCTAACCATTATTATCACTTCATTTATCAGTTTATTTTTATTTACTTATTTATTATTATTTTTTTAATTTGGGGATTATTTATCTAGGTACACGTAAAAAATATGTGTATGTTTTATAATAATCTGTAGCTTGTGAAATATTAATATCCATTTTTTCAAAGTCGAGAATAAAAGTAGTTAGAATTAAAATAAAGTAGAATTTTATTTTCTTTCTTTCTTTTCTTTATATATATATATATATATATATTGACAATATATATATAAGATATATATATATATATATTGTCATATATATATAGTCAATTATTTTCCTGATATGATGTAAACTTTTGATTGCAAGTTATAAATTAAGACTGTATTGAAAAGTTTAAGAGTTAAGATATATAAATATTCAAGTTAAGTTTCAAACCTACGATATACTGAATGGCACTTATAAGCATGCTGTGATATAGTAAACAAGCATCTCACATACTTTCCATGCTTAGTTACACATGTTTCTTGAAGTATAAAGGCAATGATTCTAATGTTTTTAAAACCACACAAAAAGTTTTAAAATTTTACTGTAAAAAGTAATTTTTATAATGTTCTAATTTAAGTAAGAGTAGATGACTTTTTACTTGCTTTTCCATATTGAGGGGGATTATCAGAAGTGTTGTTTAAAGAACAACTTTAAATGAAATTAAATATGCATATTTTCTAATATTTTAAGGTATACTTTAAATTTTCCAAATATATTTTTAAAATTGGTTTTATTAAAATATTTAAATCCTTCCAGCCAGCCCACTAATTTTGAGTGACTTAAAAGTTTTTTAAAAATCTATTTTTCCTGGAGTAAGGAATCATCTACTGTAATTCTAGTGCAAAAATCATGATAGTCTTGTATGACTAAAAACATGAATGGAGAGAACTGGGTAGAAGGAAGAAGAAAAATGAATAAAAGCGTCATCTTTATATAACATTGCAGAATAATTTTCAGTGTAGTTGAATGTTTATAAGAATCAAAGGTGGGATTTTTGGTGACATATCAATATGTACCAAACAAGATTCTTGATTATAATGTATCTGAAATTTGTGTTAAAAATGAGTTAGAACTAAGAATAATTAATTTTTGTTCATAGTTTTTATTTTAAAAGTTCTAAATTGGATTCAAGGTATCATAAGTTTACTGTGTTTTGTGTTTTGTCAGTGATTACTTGAGCCAATACTTAGTATTTAAAAGTTTTGCAGTATGTTAAATGTAAATATTTATTTTTCAATAAACAAGATAAATTTTGTAGTTTTAATATTTTTCTCATTATTCTGACACATTAAATATTAGGTTCCAAAGTTGCTTTAACTACTTCCGGCCAAACACAGAGTAGTGTTTCTGTCAGTTCCTCATCCGCTACTATTCAACCTTCTGTTCTCCAAAACTCTACGAGTCACAAAAAACCAGCCCCTCCACCCCCTGATCGTTATGCTGCTCTGGCTGATCTCGATAATCAGCTTCATCAACAAGCAACATCTGACATGCCTACTTCCATTCCATCCGGTATTGTTGCGTCCACAACTTCATCCGTATCTGTGTTTTGGTCATCTGCTGCTCCTGCCATGAATACTGCAGGATTTCCTGCAGTATTTCCTGGTGAGTATGAGTTTGAATTCTTAACATTACTTTTGGTTGGTAATTCTTTGTAAATGGTGATACTGTGAAAAAAAAATAAGTATTTAATGTAAATCATTATTCCTACGCGTAAATGCATAATTGTTGAATATCATTGATAAACAGCTCACAAGAAACTTTGAGAAACAGGCCATAAGAAAACGACAAATCTGAATTCTGTGTGTCAAGAATATTGTAGTTCCAGAATTTAAAAACATTTTGTCAATTATTTGCAAGTTAAAAGAATAGGAATGCATTTCTTCATGTTATATGAAAAGTACTGCGATAGTTGTATAAGAATGTAATGATGAAGTATAAATAAATTTTATCTTTTCTTGAATATATATTTTTCTAAAATACACTAAATGCTTTAAATGCTGGCAGCATTTTCCAAGAAGAGACATATAAGATTGTATAGTTTATGATTATTGCTGTAGCTTTTATTGAGAGTTATTTACAATTGTGAGAAAAATTGAAAAAAATGCTGCAGCAATTAAAAAAAGGGAGAGAGAGAGAAACTCTATCAAAAGCAATAAAATGTCAGGTAAAAGTAAGGGCAAGTTGAGTTCTGAAATTCTGCGTAAAAACGTATTGGGAATAAACATGAAAATACGTACAAGCAGAAATTTCAAGTCGGAAACTAAATTTAATATAAATATATAAAGGACAAGAAAGAGCTGAGAGATTATATTTGAAAAGATTTGAGTGGCAGGATCTGGTGAAATTCATAATTATCTGGTTGTAATGAAAGTTTTCCTCTTACTGGATGTCTCTTCTGAATTCTGATTTCGTCAGTAATCTTTAAGAGATCAGAAATAGCCAATCTGATGCTCCTCCCCTGCATAAATCCATATTGCTTTTCATTTAAAGATAACAGAATTTTTAAACAGGGTTCGTACGATCCTTAAAAGTCCTTAAATTTTTTGAAATCGGTTTTTGGTCCTTAAAAGTCCTTAATTTTGGCCAAAATCAGTAGAAGGTCCTTAATTTTAATCATCTGAAATTTCTCTGTTTTTACGACTGCCATTTTGAGTGTGAATTAGCATTTTGGAGGAATATTTTTGGCGATTCACTGACGAATATGATTATCTTTTGAATGGGTTCATGGTTAAAAATTTATTTTCTATGTCTAATATAATGATGGGATACTCGAGTTTCTAAGCAAAAGTGAAACATAAGCATTTGAAAATTCATTTTTTCTAATAAAGAGCTCTTAAACAACTTTTCGCTTTTGGGGTTGTGAATTCTTTTATAAACCGTTCTAAATTTGAAGATTGTCCACATTTTGGCGATTTTAGATCAGTTTTCTATAAAATTTTTAATTCCACGATCTGAGAATTTTTCGGCAATTTTTTTTAAAATCATAACATTATAATTTATTAAAATAATAGTAATATTAGAATTATATTTAAAAAAATAACTTTAAAAAACATTTATATTTTTTGCTGTCATATTATAAAGTTTCGTTTTGGTAACTTATTATACAATATTTTGAATCTGAAAAATAAACAAGATATAATGCTATAAAGCATAATTTACGAAACAGCTCTTAGTAAAGGCAAAATTAGTTATGTAATTAATTGAAAATGTATTCTTTTTAATTTTTTCATAGTAAGCGTTTTTCCCATGTAATTCTCTCAGATTATTCGAAATTCTCAGAATATGCATCAGTTTTCTCTATAAAATTAATTTTACACTTTTTCCTTCCTTTTTTTTCCAAAATATTTCTGGCTTTTTTCTGTTACAGAATTGGTTGGAATAATTTTTCTTTAGTATTTTAGACATTGCAGCATAGAAAGTTTAGAAGAACTTGAACACAAGATTTAGAGACCAACGATTCTAGAAGATTCGAGAAATATGTGACAAAATGAAAAATGTCTCCATGGTATCAACACGTAATGGATGTATTTTACAGAAAGTTTGCGATGAAATGTTACTTTTTGGAGAACATCTGGAAGAACAACAGAAACATAATATTTGAATGTTTTACTCCTGATACTAGAATCTTTTTTCTTAACATGTTTATCTTCCCTTTATTCTCTCTACTTTGCACTAGATAAACGTGGAAAATATCAAAATGCTTCTAATCTTATCACTTGGGGCAGGCATTATAGAAAGAGATTTTTTATTAATAAAGAATTGAAAACTTACATTTAGAAGATTCATCTAATATGTCTAAATGCATCGTCACAGGCTGGTGCTAGGCATTTTCCCATCTGATGCAATTTCTGTGGATCCTAAATTCTGCTGCCTAGTGCTTTTCTAAATTTTGCTTCCAGTGCCTGCTCTAAAAGTTTTGCCATTTCTAGATTTTGTTGTACTGTGTGTTGCTCAATTTTAAAAATTCTGCCACACCAGCTCTGTAACCAGCCTATACCATATATATTTCATATTTCTTCTGAATGTTCATATTACTAAAGAAATAAAATTAACCACTTTTTCTGTACATTTTAAATGCATTTAGTGTTTTTTAGAATAACAGAAATCCTTAATTAAATCCAAAAAATTCTAAAATTAAAAGGAAACATGTTGAAGAAAGAAACTGAACACATAAAATTATTCTTCAAAGATATGTGCTGTTATTATTATGTAAATTACCCAATTGTTTATGATTTCAGCCTTTACTATAACTTCCCATTTCTGTTTCTTCATATGAGAGAGTTACTGAGCCAGATTAAATTAAAATTAAATTGTATAATCCTTGACACGTAGTACACATTTTTAGTTTGAATTTGACTGTTCTTGTTTAATTACGTCACCGTGAGCTGTAATTGACTTTGTTAGCATAAAAACATGCCTTTATGTTTGTTCTAAGTTCTTTTTAAAGAAGAGGCTTATTTAAACCTTTGTCTGATATTGTAGTTACTTTTCAGACACACTGATAATTTGCTTCATGTCTCTCATGGGGGGATATTTAGCTTTTACCAGATCAAGTAAACCCTCATAGGTACATTGTGGAGAGGTTGACAAGCTAGGAGATAAAGCACACAGAAACTAGCGAGAACACTGGTTTACATATTGAGACAAATTTCTAATTATTGCCAAAAAAGATGCTTAAAGAGAAGGAAATCGATATAAACTAGCCAAAATGTTTGCGAAGGCTTGTAGACACATTAAGTATTTTTGAAAGCAGGAAAGATAAAAAATTAACAATGCCTTCTCCGGGAATCCTGGAATCGCAGACCCCTGGAATACTGGCCCAGTGTACAAACCACTGCACCATGAAGGCTCGCCAAGAAAGTGGTGAAATACCTTATATACTGCCCCTTTTAAAGGGCGACTGTGGTTTTTAGAGGACCCAATTGCCAAATCCTGGGTGTGGAAAACCATCATTTAACACCCTTTTAGTTCAGGCACCACTGTAGAGACATTATGTATTTTTGAAAGCACGAAAGATGAAAAATTAACAACGCCTTCGCCGGGAATTGAACTGCTGACCTCTGGAATACCGGCTCGATGTGCAAACCACTACACAAAGGCTCACCAAGAAGGTGAGAGAAATACCTTATAGGCTTCAAATTAAAATGACGGATAAATATTTTGTTCAGTGTTGTTGTTACAAAACATTCTGTAGCTTTTAAAGTGTAGTTATCCTAATATCGTTTAAGAATCAATTTCATAAATTACATTTATTTTAAACTGCAAAATTTTATTAGATTTTGATTTTAGTAGGCTTTTTTTTTTTAACAAATATTTTTAAAAAATAAAAGTGGTCATATAAATCCATAATGACTAAGGTTATCTAATTACCTAATTTAATTATTTATAACTAACTACTTACCCTTAAAAATTATCTCTTCATATTAAAGTGAGTTATTGCCTTTCATTAATACTCACTGTGGTCACAAGATAAAAATTAAAAATGTAAAAATTCAAGTAAAACATATTCTTTGCACCTACTGATACTTAAAATAATATATACGAAACAACTTATCACCTCTGGTGCTTTAGTGGCTTATTAGAACCTTAAAGTATATTAACTGAGTTACAATCTCTGGAACTCTACATAAAGCTATGACATTAACTGCACTAAGCAAAGCATGACTAACTTTCAACCGTGCCTAAATCAGGCTTTTCAGGTTTGTTCCAGTCGTCAGGTCTCTTTCTAGACAAGCAGCAGAGGGACAACATTCAGTCAGTTGTTATGAATCATGCTGATTATGATCTTACTTCTCATTTTAACGTATGCCGTTTGACATAAAATCTCCCTGCTATTTACTAAACCTCTAGACTGACCAAGTATGTGACAAAATGAGATATAAAAAAAAAAATCAACATAAAGCTAACTATTAGTAAAACTTAAATGTCACTTATCTTCTTTCAAATATATCCAACTATTATAAGTGTAAAATATTTAATGCTACTTGATAAACTGCATGAAGTTTATTTTATTCCCAAACTTATAATAATTTGTTAGTTAATTGTGTTTAGTATAATGCATACTACTTAGGGATCTATTTTATTTTTAGGATGGTATAACAAAAGTGAAATTCAGGCATAGAATAATATATTTAATTGAATTTATTCAGTTTCCATTTGCTCATAGGTCCTTAATTTTTTCATTAATGGGCCTTAAAAGTACTTAATTTCCATGTGCAAAAATGTGTACGAATCCTGTATACATAAATTACCTTTTGGTTTTTCTTTGTAGGCAACTTCATTTGAATTTCATACTTTAAGAGAGAGTTATTTTTAATTTTCTCTTCTAATGTACTGCTATCATTCTTATTTGGTAGTTCAACCACTAAACCTCTTTTATTGACTTTTCTGACATTTTTAATACCTACTTTTAATCTGGTGGGGTCAGTAGCATTAACGATCTTTGACTTAACTTTCTTTGATGATGTTTCACCATTATTTGGATAAAGCAAAATCTGCATCTTATTTCTTAAGTTTATCTCGACTAGATAGCAGATTTTTGTTCTTTCATTATTTTGGCAAATGTTCTTTCAACTCTTTGTTGAATAGGACTCTTTTCTATTTTCCCCAAACTCTCCTTAAATTAGACTTGCTTTCAAAGGGAAAAAAAAAAAAAAACCCAAAAGATCATGCTATTTATTTATGTTAAATATCTCTTTCTTTAAAGTCAGTGTTATTACCACAAAGTATGGTCCTAGCCTGTGCAATAAGTTCACTATCATTTGTTACAAGCTTTGGCTGCATCTCAAAATTAATTTTGAGATAATTTAACAACCTAGAATATGTTGTTTCCCCAGATTGGAAGTGGAGTTCAGTATTTGACTTCCTGACTGGGGAGTTGGAGCCTCTCCGAGGTCCTGAACTCCTGGGGAGTATGTTTTGAAAGATCAAACACAGAAATCTAGTAACACTTTACAGAATTTGCAAATTCTGCTTTTGCTGTATACACTAAACTTTCAACTCCATTAACTGTCCTTGGGTGATATTCTTGTGTATGCAGAAGCAACATGTTCTTAGTTTGACCTTAATGTTCGGGCATTTCAGTTTTTTTAGAAACATAACTTACAAAATTAATAACTGCAGTTATTGAAATTATCTTGCCTATTATGTAATGCATTTTTGTTATTTATAATAAGTAAAAAAATGCTTTAATTCCCGTTTTTTATTGTGTATTTTACAGTTGCACAAAATCCATTTGCACACACTGCATCAACTTGGTCTCAACAATCTATGATTTGTACACCAAATCCTTTTCAAACTGTTCCACAGCAGATTCCTGTGGGTAGCAGCAAAAGTGTCCTTCCACATCAAAATGCAAATGGATTACCAAATGCCAACTGTGCAAAGCCGAGCTTACCTAATGGAAATATTGGAAATTCGTTTTGGCCTAGCCAAGTTTGGGGTTCACCAATTCAAAATGGTCAACCCGATGCCTTTTCAGGTAAAGGTGCTCCTGTTGTGGACAGTTATAACCCATGGGCTCAATCCTTTGGATCAAGTGGTGCCAATCCATTCCTGGTGAGTATGCCATCTCTTCTTTTTGTGCAATAATGTCAGAATATCCGTGCTATCTAAGTACTCTTTTCATTTTGGAATGTTGCTTAACTAATTTAAATACTAATGCATATGCTACATCTTTGCATTTTGTTTGATCTCTAGCTGAAATGGAGACATTTTTGTGTCTGAGATCTATTAGGAATAAAGGTTCTAACATTATACTTATTTAAATAGTAGCAGAATTTGTTTGTCTGAATTAGAGATGGTAATTTTTTGATTTCCCATGAAATCTGTTTTTGGCATTTAATAATAAAAGTTCATGTGCATAATGTTGATAAGCAAGTACATGAAATATGTACATTTTAGTTATGTATATTGATATTAAAAATAATGAGTGATTTTTTGTTTTCTTCCTCACAATGTTTACAGGTAATTATTTTTATCGTGTGTCGAGCTCTAAACATGAAAAGCATTTTCTAACTTTTAGAAAAAATTTTTCATTAGAATGCCAATAAAAGTTAAAGTAAAATATAATTTACATGCCATATTTAAAAAAATATCAGTCTGTTATCGAAAAAGAATCGGTAAATATTGCAGTCTAAACTCTATTCTAAAGAATGGATAAGGAGTGTTTATATATGTAAAGTACATTTATTTGTATTCTTCGTAGATGTTGTATAATTCAAAAAAAATAAATAAATAAATAAATAAATAAATAAGCCAGTCTAAGACTGTAGTCTAAAAGAAAAATGATTTTAAAACTGTACTCTTCCAAAAAAGCTATGTTTCTTTTTAGACTATAGTCTAAGTTGTTAAATTATAGAACAGTATATACACTGCAGGCCATTAAAATTGCAACACCATGAAGGAAAGCAAACACAAAAAAGATATTTATTGCATATAAGCAGTATGGCATAAAGGCAAAATCATTAAATTTGTAAGCATTTGGAGGGTTACAGGGGTGCGAAATTAGTAGAAGCAGCTGCCACTACTGGCAGCTAAAACGGCGCTTACCCCATTAGGCATGGAGTCAAGTTGGGCTTGGATGACAGAAATGGGCAACTCATTCCATGGTGCTTCAAATCTGTGCCACACTTCATCAACTGTGTTAGCTGGAGAGGAGCGGCGGGCCAGTCTCTCAGCAACCAGTGACCAGATGTTTTCTATGGGCGACAGATCTGGAGACTATGCAGGCCAGGGCAGCAGTCAAATACCTGTGTATCGAGGAAGGTCAGAACACGATGTGCAACATGTTGTCTTGTATTATCTTATTGAAACATGGCATTTGGGGGCCTTAAAGATAAGGTGTAACCATTGGACATAAGATGTTAGAAATGTACCAATCTGCTTTAAAATTACCGTCGATCCGAACTAGAGATGTGCGTGTTGTGTACCCAGTGGCTGTCCAAACCATCACACCATGTGCAGGGTCCCTATGCAGACATGTATATGGCCACCAGAATACTGCACGTAGAAAACATCAGAAACATTTAATGTCATACAGAGTCTGATTCAAGTTAAAAATAACGATAAATGATGGGAAATTCATCGCAGTTGGAAGCTTTGGAAATTTTTAATACCTCTGATGACAGTTACAATTTATAAAATGAAGTTACCTTTAGAAAATTTTCGGAATCTGTACAATTTTAGAACAACATATGTACGGCTTGCTTGCAATGAAACGAGCAGGCAGGGGAATTGCAGGATAGTTTGTAGGTAGCAGAAAAACGATTTGAGTCATTGTGATGCAGATTTAGTATGAAGAATCCGAAGTTTCATGAGCATTTGCAAAGTTGTGAGAAATCATCATTTACAGGAAAGTATCACTGAAGAATTGAAGTATTTAAAAACTGAAAAAGGGTACTTTTCATTGTATCAAGCTGTATAATTGGAGAAAACAGACATCAGAAAACTTCATGTTGATGTGTTGAAGACTTATTATTATTGAATGAATGTTTAGGATCAGATGTTTCTTTCCATTCAAAGTCTGTTTCATTGCTTTTAAAATTATATCAATATAGGCTTGTAGCTTTAGGGAAATCTAGCTGAAGCTTTCGAAATTTTCTGAATTCCTGTTCTTACTGACATGAAGTTAGGCTGCGTTGGTGTATATATTGAGTCCTGTGCCAACTTTACATTTTTTGATAAATTTTATTGATAATTTTGTAATTTATAATCTATATTTTTGTAAATAACAACTTTGAATTGCTAGTTTCAAAGGGTCCCAGTACAAAGGGCTAATTTTTGTTAAGTAAAACTTTAATAGTTCAGAACCCAGATTCTTTATTCTTTCTAGGCAGAATAAAATTTATTTAATTTGTTTATGTTTTGATTTTTTGTTAATTTAGATAATATAAAATAAAGTAAAAATAATAGCATAATTTAAAAAAAATAAAAGCTTTTAAGATTCTATATTATGCCCAAACGAGCATTTTTTTTTTTTTTTTTCCCATTTACAGACACATATACATTTTGAGAGCATTTGGGCTAACACTGCTGTGGGCTAAAAATATTTAAAATAGCATATCTTTAGAATTTCCGATAGGCAATCTCGCACGCTGGAGATAAAAAATGTTTTATTTAAAATTTTGTTGTTTTAAATTGAAGTGTTGCTACTGCTTGCTTTGAAATTGGTGAGTTTTTTAATCAGAAATTTGTTAAAATTTTACAAAATATGAAATAGAAAATAAGATAAATTTGAAATTCCAAATTCGGGCTTCTAGGTGCTCATGTTCGTGTGGACGACTATGTTATTCAAAATTTGATGATTTTGATGATGGTGTTTTTTCACAATGTGAGAAACATGCATACATTCACGCAGATTCTGTGTTATTTAATTTCTTTAAATATAACACAGGGCGATAATACTTGGTGGCAACAATTTGAAAAGGTATACAGCCTTTCATAGTAATTCGATGCAAAATCCCATTTCAATACTAAGGGCTCTTCTATGTTAACGATGATGAAAATGAAGGAAGAAACAGTACTAGTGAAAAGAATGTATCACATATTAAATTGTCTCAGTTTATTGCCATTTCATCTTATTTTTATTTAATCCAGACACCCTTGTGCTTTTTTGGATGCTAGAAATAATTAAATTGATAGATGCTGGAGAACAAGACAGTTATCTCAGTAAACTTATAGATTATGTAACTCAAACCCTGAAAGTGGGCTGTCATAGTCAGGTTACTATGGATTGTAAATTATTTAAATTCTTAAATAAATAATAAATTGAAATAAAGTGTATATGCTGTTTTAGCCAATGTGTGAATGAAACCTTAACCGCCGTTACCAGAGATTAGAACAGTTTCACACATATTATTGCATTTCTGAGTCACATTTTCAATTATTGTTCAATATTTTTTCCATTTATAACATTTATGTAATTTTATTTGATGCAGTAGTGATAATTTGGGTAATAATGTAGGTATGCAATTTTCAACTTTTAATTATTTATTTATTTCTTAAGTGGCACTAACTAAACTCAGTGGCACAACAGCTGTAGTGGCCCATGGCCTGCAATGCGTTGATAGCTGCTTTCCTGACCATGGACCCCGGGGCCACCATTTCTTGTTGCAGGGCCCCTGATATTTAGTCCTCAAACAAACTTGGTAATTTATCGACCCACTCAAGGAATGAAAGGCTGAGTCAACCTTGCCCAGCCTGGATATCAAACCCTGGACCTATGGTGCTGCTGCATGACACACTAGCTACAGTGCCACAGTTCCTTGGCACTACCTAAAATGCTATTTTTAAATACGAAAATACAAATAAATGAAAATGATTTCATTAATTAATTTAATAATCTGTTAAGTTTTTAATTCCATTAAGTTTGTATTTTTTCCAGTTTTACCAAACGAAAGGAGTGGCTCTTAATAGGGGGTGTTTTTATAAATTGTTCAGCTACATATATTCCAAATGTTGTACAATATATATATAAAAAAAAAGGTCATCAGTTTAAAAAAAAATTAGTCATCAGTTTAAAAAAAAAAAATTAGTCATCAGTTTTTTTAATAGATTTCCACCTTACCTTTCGGGAGATAACATTGAAGTTTTTGCTGTGTGGTACTCTGTATGTTGGGCAAAATCTTTAGCTTCGGAATCCCTGAGCATGATACAGTTGTTTTAATAGTAGTACTGTCTGCAGAACTGGCAGCAAAGTTCTACTGTATTATGGTTTAGTGATCATATCGTAATCGGCCCAGCCCCTTCTTAGAAGACTGTTTGCCACTTATGATAATTGAGTGAGGTATTATTTCCTGCTTGATTATGGATAGTAATGTCATGACATGTCTTCATTTGATGACAAAAAAGCATATTTCTAGTCTCATTTCAACATGATAAATCAAATACCGAGGGCCCTGGTTGTCTTTCTGTGGTTTTTTAGTGCATGATGTTTTCTGCATCAGACTCATCCGAAGACAACTTCTCGCCTTGTTTGTTTTCAAGCAGCATGTGGCAGATTGCATACTACATCATTACCAAATTTTGTTTCGTACATTCCTATTTATGATTCTTGCGCTTAAAAGTTGGTTTGATGATTATAGTGAATGACTGAAGAAGCTCTTTGATGGGTTCTTAAATCAGTAAATGGGTTTTTAAAGACCATCTAAATAAATGACACCATTTTCATGATTTTTAAATTGTTAAATTTTCAGTTTGTTCCATATATAAAAATGTTCCTTTTTTGTAAACAATTTATAAAACCTGTTTTAATAAGTATGCATGTTCAAGTACTTTTTTGCTTCTAAAGAACACTTCAGATATTTGAAAATTTGGATATTTTAATATCTTACCTTTTTGTTTCATTAATGTTTTATATTAATGAGTTTCAATAATATGTTTATATTTTTAATTTTTTAGAATGGATCCTTTTCTTCTGGACAAGCTGCTAATACATCAGGAACAACTACAGGAAAAAACCCCTTTCTATGATATTCTTTTTAAAATTAAAGTGCTTGCCTTGGTGATGTTTTCCATATCTTGTTATGTTTGGCCTTTGTGATACTCAAGTATTTGTGATGCTCCGCTGCTTTTCCTGTTGTTGCCATATTCTGCTTTCTAGAAGACTTAGTGGATCTAATGTGTTTTTGAAAAAAATTTCGTAATATAATTTTACATTTCTGTATTAATTGCTAATACATTAAATTTGTTTTCAGTTCTGAACTGAATGCTTTGAGAAGTAAAAACATATGTACATATTATATAAGAGCTTTATAACCATATTTTCTTAATTTACATTTGTTTATATCACCCTTTTTTAATATGTGCTCGATATTTTTGTCTTTCTATTCTCATTTATATCTGCTTTTAATTTTTTATTCTTTTTTCATAATTTTACAAAAAACATTTGTTGTTAACTTAAATGTATAACTACACGTATTTCATGTTAGCATATTATTTTTGATATATTATGTGTTATTTTTTCTTTATAATTTTTCTCATTCACTTGTTCTCTTTGGAGAAAAATTCTTCCAACCGATGTTGTAAGTGGGCATTTTTAACTTTCTGTCCCATAATAGGGAATATTTTTACTATGAAGTATAACAAAATCTATAAAATAAGTAAAATGCAAACTCTGATCTTTTGTGGTTTTTAAGAAATTTAACCTGTTGTGCTGAGTGTCAAATATTTAATTTGGTGCTGAGCATCAGTTGTACAGTATATTATATTACATAATAATGTAATACATGGCAGTAAGAAACATAAATTTAAGAGTTTTTAAAATATCTATTTTACATTCAATTATTTATATATTTATCACTTGCATAGTAGTATTAAAAATAGTGATATATAATATTTAAGATTAAATAACCCTACTGATCTTAGAATTTTTAAAAAATCTGTAAAGGTATTCAAATAAAGTTGAGGTTTAATTCTGTAACATGCAATATTTTTGATTTTTTATGCAATTTTTTTCTGTGCATTTTTAGAACTTATAGTGACATTTTAATTTTATAATGCACAAGTACATCCTGAATGTAATGTATATAATTTTTCAATATTGATACTATATGTTTTAATATCTTTTATACATAATTTTCCTTTTCTGAAATTGAAATTGTTATCCTGTAAGTTTCTGAAACAAGTAGTAAGAAAAAAGTGGCTTATGTTAAGTGCCAAAATAATAATCAACAAACTTGTTCTGCTGGTGTGATAAATTGTGCCTGTCTTTTTATTTAATTTATTTTGAAACAACTTGGATTTTTAATAGTGATTATGATGTTTTAAATAGTGTAGTGACTTTTTTCAGAATCAAAATTTTACATTAAATAAATATTTATATTTACTACTTGAAAATGCCAATAATGAAAGGCCAAGGAATAAAAGGGAAATTATGCTGTATATTCTGCTAAAGAGAATTTCTTACTACATTGTTAACTATTTTTAAGAATTCTGATTATATTAATTTTAGCAATGCAAAATAAACCTTTTTCTCATATAAAATATAGTATTTAATACAGTAGTATACTTATATAAATGTTACAAGTTTTATTTTTTGAATGGGAAGAAATGTAAGAGCATTAATAAAGTTAAAAATAAAACGTTTGAAGTCATTTAAAACACATTTAATTACCCACATTTGCTTTTGCTTGTCAATCGGGTAATCTGATGATGTTTCTTGAATCAGAACTGATCCTTTCTTGTATCTCCATTTCTAGTAATCAGCTGTGCTCAGTGAACTGGCTAACCTAGCTCATCATATATATTTCCTTCTTTATTTTCTTCTTTTAGTAAAGTTAGAATTTTTTGTTAATTTATGTATTTTTTTTTTTTTTACTCTGTTTGATTGCACACATACACATTTTCTCTGATTTTTGCATAACTTTACAACTTGGACTTGTTTTGTATTATTATCAAGATCCTCACGACAGTACCTGCATTGCTTTGAGTTTGTGTGTTGGTATTTTATCAGTTTAGTGCACTCATTATTGCATAAAATTTTGACTTAAGATAATACTGCATGTTGAAATACTAGATGATTTTTTTTAACAAAATGTACAGGCTGTGTAATAGAAAAAATATTGTAAAATTGAATGTAAAATACATTAACATTAAACTTCACACTTTGTTATTAAAAATATCAGAGAGCTAACAATTAAGGCAGCTAAGATGTTTCATGTGTAAGTGTATTCACAATTTTAACTCCTTTTCTAGCTTTTGTTTTGCACATATTAACATTTTTTTGTTTTTTTTTCTGAGCACAGAATCTCATCTTCTCAGGCTGTACTATCTGTCTTTCACGTACATTCCATAATGTCATGTTTTATTCGTGTAAATATTGTTAGATGGTACTACATTATGTTTTTTATATGAATGCTTTCTGTCTGGTACAGAATAATATATTTTCATTAAAAATCAAGTCTGTATTGACTTTTTATGTGAATTATATTTTTAACTTTTCTTGTTAAGTTTAGGCTTTATTGTTCTAGTCTTATTAAAAGTTCAGATATGCCTAATTAACAGAGGTTCCCTCTCACAAAAGTTCTTTTTCTGAACAAAAATGCTGTTATATAAGTTTTTAATGGTAATCTAACTTTTTTTCTTATATAAATTAATTTTGAAGGAGTTTATCTCCAGTCAATATTTTTTGTTTAAACATGCATAATATTGTTTGTATTTTCATAAAAAAAAAGATTGTTACTAATTTAGTTGTGCATAAGTTTTAAACTTCCTAAGCAAACAATCAAGCTTACTTTGACTGTTTTTAAAAAAGAAATGCTATTAGAGGGAATCTTTGTGGTATTTATGCCTATTGTTATGGAATAAAAATCTGTATGCAATCATTTCTGTCTTAAAACCAAGAACTTTATAGAATACTTGGGGAATATTCTTTCCCATGGCTTTGTACCAAGAAATTGCAAAATATTTGCCTTGCGCTTTTAAATATGAGGTGTTGTAGCAATTTCAAAATCTATTTCTCTACTTAATGGTGTTAATAAAATAAACAGTTTATTTCAAAGCATGTGTCTGAATTCTTTTTTAAATTTTGTAAATCATAGCATTTATTTTTTTATGAGCAAAAAATTTCATCCCATATGAATCACTCTTATTTTTAACTCCACAAATCTTGACAGTCTTGTCTTATGTGGATGGAATCAACTGTAGGCAAATAGTAATGCATATCAAATTCTTAAAATGATTTAATAAACTTGCTTAAAAATGTAGATTTTTCGTCTGGAAGGGGTATGAGGCTGTAAAATGTTTTACAGGTGGGAAGGTATTGGACTTCAATTTGACAAAAATCAAACAGTTATAGTTATACAAATGACTTGAAGCATTTTCTCTTGCTTGTGGAGTGCTTAAAATAAGCCATTATTAGTATCTTCCTAAGATACCATGCTTGTGGAGTATGCATATGATATCATGCGTGTGGGTATTCTATTATGCTTTGTGCTTGAAATAAACCATGATTAGTATTTTCATAGAAAGAAACTCTAGGAAAGGAAATTTCTTGAACCGCATACTGTTTGTGTACTATCTGTCACAAATTTAGAGATGAGTGAAAATTATCCTAACTGTTATGAACCTCTTGAAAAGGATCCTGGGAAGCAATTCAGTGATTTTAATGTTTCATTATTTGAGTCATATGCTACAACATATACAGAATGCAGAGTTTTGATATACGCTAACCTCAGTTTGTTGTTGAAAGTAAATATACGTAGCATGTATCAAAACTAGATCATGAATTGTTCATAAATGTCTGCCTCAATCTCTTTACATCTAACTCATTTTCCGCTACAGCAGTTGAACGGTCAGATATGTAATCAGTGATAATCTGGTAGTGTGACACAGAAAGAAATTGGTGAAAGAATAATAACAATTTGGGTGATATTCTATAAAAGAGAAAATCACTGCATATAGAAAACTCTGATGTCGGTCATCTATCTAAACTTCCCTATGCTAGATTTTTTTCCACAATAGTTGCTAGGTTGTAAAAAAGTTTACTTTGTCATATCGGACCATGGAATACAGCCATTAATTTGTAAATTTTATGTCATAGTTTGCTGTTCATGAGTAAGTTCATAGTTTGCTGTTCATGTTTTGAGTAAGAAAGTCTATTTCTTTCATTATGAATACAAGAGGATAGAAACTAGAAATTGCGTAGCTGTACAAAGCATAGGTCCGAACTTCACCGGTTTGTCATCCTTTCATTTGATCTCCATACATCACTGAATTTTCTGGTTTTCAACTGATATTTTCAAGTTCTAAGGAAAATGTTTCCTAGCATCCTTAATGATATTTAGATTAATGTTTCTTATTTATTTGATTTAAATGGTCATAATTTGTAAGTTTTATATTAATTAACTTATTTTCTTATGATTTGGAACTGTACAGTTACTTCTTTTCATTAACTCTTACCAAGATGTAAGTATGATATGAGTAGAGACAGTTCTTGAAAGTCTAGCCTGAAAGCTTCTGGCAATGATGCTGACTTTAGAACTATTCCCTTGTGCTACTTGTTAACCGTTAATAATTTCAATTAATGTTTGTTTGGCATTTTGCACTGTAGTCTTCAGCATCTACTTAATTTAAATTTTAAATTTATCCTTCTGCTACTGATATCTTGCAAGATATGGAGTTATAAACTGTAAGCACAAGTTGTGCATTTATTCTGTTTAAAATTTTAAATAAAAAGGTTGTTTAAGTCTTTTTTGGACTCTGTCATTATTTTCATAGACAGGGTGATAACTTGCCTGGCTGTTTTAGTAGGAAGTAAGCAATTAAGTTAATTATGGAGTGAAGTTCTACAAATTTACTGTAGAAATATGTAGAACCATTTTAAGATTTAACAAATATTAAATCAATCAATATGGGTATTTAATGTTGTTTTATATCAACAACTGTTAATTCCTAAGATTGTTTTACATTAATAAATATTATGTATGTTTCATAATGTTACATTTGTAATTCCCACAATAGTATGTACATTAATTATTATTTCCATTTTATGCAATATTTCTTAAAATAAAAATAAAGCCTTTGTTTTGTGTGTTCAGGAGTTTTTAAGTATAAAGGTGTAGGAAATTTACAAAGTGAAATAAGCCAAAAATCATTCAGTTTTGAATATCAAATTAAACGTCAATATATTTTACATCAGAATTACATTATAAAAATTTAATAATCAGAATCATGCATTGTAAAGTGAATTTAAGTCAATTTGAATTTCTGAAATTACTAAGTGGAAAGACATCCTGGAAGCTCCTAGTTTTTCATATTTCAAGGCTGACAGCTATGATACAGAGAAATAGAAACTATGATCTGGTTTTTTTATTCGGTATGCTTAGATATTGGAATACCCTTGCATATACATGTAGAGCAATTTTCTCCTGAAGAAAAACTGGCAATCAACTCATAAGCCCTGTACAAGTAGTGGTGTGGTAAACAAGAACAGCATGCACAAACACTGCAATAGAAACAAATGTTTAATGTGTATGTCCAGAATTACAATGTGAAGTATCATGTATGGAGAGGAGCCTTGGTTGCAACATTTTATTACACTAATGCAGCCATTCTCAGTTTCTTCTGCCCTATGCACACCTTTCACTATTGCTGGAAGATCATCCCCACTTTTTCCAAAACTCTCAAAATACATTTATTTAGATTCAGAACATTTTTTAATGCTTTTTACAAGTTAAACAACAAAAAGTATAGAAAATGTTGGTAAAAACAAAAAGAATACAAGTGTTTTCTTATATTCATAAAGTGAAACCAAATATTTAACAGCTAAAAATGAAAGCCTTACTGCCCTGAAACCAGATTCCTTCACTGAAAGTATGAAATTCCTCCAATTCGGGAATTCCTCTGGCTGAGAGTCCCTGTGTTAACGGAAGTAAATATTGTGATAAATAATAACTAGGAGAAGGATTTAAAGAAGTGTGCTCTGTTCGATAATTTGCTGCTTATTTGGCTGTGCTTATCTAGCAACATTTGGATTAAATTCAACTAAAGTGCATTTTTGACTGAGAGTAGGGCAGTTACTTTTGGGTCTGATTTCATATATGTATGAACCACATTTGTATTTTCGGTCAAAAACTGAATACATTATAATCTACATATGTATTAAATAACAAGTTACTCTTGAAGCTTATTTCCAGATGTTAACCATTTTACAACATTTTCTGCTCTGAAAACAAACATGCAGTATTATCTTATTAAGATTCTTTTGTACTGTGTAACTTCATGTAACTGCATCTGCTTATCAGAAAATTATCCAAAATTTGAGTCTTGCGTCTTAAAAAATAAATAAATAAATAATAATATTTCTTTGATTAAATAGAGATCTATTGGATAATGTCCTTTATTCATTTTTTTTAAGTAACAATGAAATATTTTAAATGAACTCTTATTTCTTGAAAAATTATTCAGTGTAAAGCTTAATTAAGAAGATAAATTCTGTGGCGTGTAAAGCTCAGTGCTTTGTGTAATTTTTAATTTATTCTTGAAATTTTAAAGTCAAAGAAATCTAATGATTACAATTTTAGATATATACCCATTTCTTCCCTTGTATATAAATTTTAAGTGACCTGTATTTTTTTTATATACTATATAGTTTCTATTTTAAATTCTATTTAGGATGTGCTCAACCTGTTATTTGCATGTTAAGTATTTAGTTGTAGTCTATGAATATAAAAAACCAATATTTTCTACTTTAATTTATAAAACACATGAAAAAATAATCTGGGCAAGATGATTATCTAGCAGTGGTAAAAGGCAAAGAACGTGTTATCTAGCGGTTATAAAAGCAGCAGAGAAGATAAATGACCGGCAAACACTCTGCATTCGTGATACACCGGCAAAATGCTGCATTTATGATGTACACTATGCCAAAAAAGGGGGGCAGTTTTGTATCTCCTGTTCTAGTGGACCGAATGACGAAATTCACATTGCGTTTTTCATGTCTTGAAAGCGCCACTTAATATAGATATTAGATTTATATATAGCATTGTTCTAATATAGGTATTTTGACATAAAAGCGGACTTTTTCTGAGATGACACTCCAAATTTGTTTTTCCATATTTCGATTCTACGACTCAAATTATGCCTAAATATTAAATTTTGTAAAATTTGGCGCGAAATTTACGGAGAAATCCAAAAATTTATCTTGGCGATTTTTTTCAGTTTGCGGTAAGAATAATTCACTTGGCGAACGTTTTAATTTATAGCAACAATACGCGCCAAAATGTAAATTCACGTATATCTCAAAAAAATTTTGAATAAGAAAACTCTAATTTTTTGCAGGTATACTTTGATGGTAAAAATTTCATAGATTATAATTCAAAATTTTTTCGAAAAATTTATAAAAATGATTAAAAATACAAATTTTAAAAATAAATCATAAAAGTGGGCGAATTTTATTTGGAATGAACTTAAATTTCGAAATGTGAGAGGAAGAATCAAATAAGTTTCATTAAAAAATAAAAAGATTAATAAATATATACCAAATTCAATTTACATTGAGAAGCTAAAATTTTGAGGGCTAATTTTTTAAAAACTCGTGCGATTTTTACAAAACTTAGCAGTTTGGCGTAATTTAAATCGTAGAATCGAAATATGGAAAAAAATTGGCATGTCATTTCAGAAAAAGTTCGATTTTATGTCAAAATACCTGCATTAGAACAATGCTGTAAATAAATCTAATACGTATCCTCATCCTACAAATATGTGTATTTGAAAACAAAAACTTATCTGATGATCCAGATTACCAATAAATTAATCAAGTAATGTGGTAGTTAAGTTTAATCTCTATATTTTGATCCTCTGGCTAAACTGTGTAAGAAAGGAATAACTATATATATATATATATATATATATATATATATATATATATATATATATTAATTAGTAGTTTGGCAATTATTACGATTATTGTCTCACTTGTTTTGTTTTACTTTTTTCGGAGAAGGTTAGCACGTTGAGAGTAAAGAAAAAATCCCTAATTCTGATTTCAAACTGCTCGAT